TGGTGATTTAGTTTGACACATCATGTAAAGTAGCATCCATAAGATTACAATTTGCATAAAACCTATATCTCACCCATTATAGAACTCTGACAGGATTAGCGTTCTATGTCATTGACCAAGGTAACGTATACAAAAATGACAATCAATACACGTATGAAGACTGCAGTGTGATTTAGAATAATCTTCATTACAATAGTATCCTCTATTAAAACATCTGTGTCCAAAGATATATAAACTACAGCACTCCAAAACTCGTGTCAAATGACATACGAAAAGCATCAAAGAGAAGTAAAACTGACCTGCACACACACACTGTTCACAGAAGGAAACAGTCGAGAGTCTAATCAATCGGACAGTGGATATAAAACTTAGCTATACAATGTTGTTTGACCAAAACAAGACTTTGTCTGAGCAACCAGGAATAATTGAGTACAAGCTATGATTTAGTACAAGTTTGTCTCCTGATGATGTGATACCAGCTTCAGCAGTTGTTGTCTACTTTTTCTTGACATTTATCCTTGTATTTTAAGAATTAAAGATCCCAACAAACCTACAAAAAACAATCTATTTTTGAAAAGCTGAAGACACATCAGACTTACCATCATGAGCTTTTACCACTCATGAATCTAAATCTGAACTAAGAAAACAAAACTGAAACTTAAGTATATTTTCATTATAAAAACCAAAAACATTTGGATTTTCATACTATTTACAGTGATTTTCCCATCCGAAACAGCGACTTGAAAGCGAGAAAAAAATCATTTCTCATATGATCAATCTATACGTAATCGAGTTCTTATTGGAACCTTCTCAACAACAGACTCAAGATTCTCTAATCTTCAAGGACACAAAGAGATTAAAAAAATAATAATCAATCAGAAATCGTACAATACTAAAACTGATAATTGATGAGATATTAGTTTCAAAATATGAAATCAGTCTTTGATTTAGCAGCTGTAATAAAAGTTTATCACCTGATCTGATTCTATTGAAAACCAGAGTTGAGTTGTTATCATGTTTTCAGTTTGACATTCAACACCAATTTCTGCGATAATTCATTTCAGAAGCACAAAACCAAGGAGCGTAATGTTTGAGATGCCGGCTCGAATCACCCAGAGAGAATCCACCAGTCTAATGTTAACTGGACGTACGAGAGGTGACAGCTGGGGCGGGTGAGAAGCAGTGTAGAAAGGAAGATAAGCGGAGCGTTGGCTTGTAAAGTGATGATTATGAGTGAGTGTAGATGTTACGACAAACCTCGAAACCAATGCATGAGAGCGATAAAACTAAACATCCCGTGATACCAAGCGCAGTCGAGAGGAACATCTCAGAGGGGACCCACAGCAGATTCAAAGGAGTCTGTTCTTGGCGTCCGAGCCAGACTTGTCCGGAATACTAAAATTGAGTGGGAAGAGTTTTTCTCAGTGGATATATTGAAGTTGGTTCGTCCGGTCTCTGTGAGTGAAGAGTGTGGAGTCATGTTCAGGGTTGCGAGTAGAGAGACACCTCCCGCCCTGTCATGAGTCGCAGCTGGACTCTGATCCTCTGGCAGAACTCTTGCTTCACTGCCGACCAGATCGGTCTATTAACACCATGATTTAGTTTTCCCACTCGATGCGTATAATAAGACAACCAGAATCCGTATATGGTCTGTGAAATAAACGTATCTTTGCCCTTCCTGTCAACGCCTGGACTCGTTTAGGTGCGGAGAGGCGGGCGCGAGCGAATCCATCAGGAGCGTCTCCCACCTCCACCTCCCAGCTGTGTTCTCCCTGAGCTGAAGCCCTCAGAGCCCCAGCGAACATTTAGCCATACGTGAGTGTTTTCTCTCTGAGTCAGGAGCTTTGCTGCTTTGTTCTCCATGTCGCACAGTACTATTGCGTCCAGATCATCAGACAGATGGAGCCTGGGGTGCTGCATTTACTTTGCCGTCCAGGAATGGACAGGACTGAAGTGAACCTTTCCCTGTCAATCTTCTTCCCAGATCCTTCTTCGCACTGAAGGACAGGGATTGCCAGGGTGTGCGCACATCTGTCAGAGTTCCGTGAGAGCAGCTGTGTACTTGCTGACAGTGCCCCCCCCGCGGCCACCCCCGCCCCCCCCCCCCCGCCCCCCCCCCGCGCCTCCCCGGCCGCCCCCCGCGCCCCTCGAACCGTCGCCCCGCGCCGTACGCCGGGCTGCTTCCTGTCCAACCCCACCCACCCCTACGCCTTTCTCAGCGCCCCTACATCAACCCCTCCTTCCCCCCCCCTAGCTCCCCCCTGCCGGCGCGGCCGTACCCGCCCCCCCCCCCCCCCGCCCCCCGCCGCCCCCGCGCGCCCCGCGCGCCCCCCCCCGCCTCCAGCTCACATCCTCATCAGCCCCCCTCCCTGCCCCCCCGCCCTCGTCATCGGTTCTACCTCTCTTCCTCGACTGCTCCCCCCCGGGGGCGCCCCCCGCCCGTCCCTCTCCCCCGCGTTCCCGCCCCATCTCCCTTCCGCCCCCACCCGCCCCCTACCGAATCACTGGCCTCTCGGACAGCCCTGCCGCCCGCCTCTGGCCTCCCCACCCCCCTACCTTCCCGCTCTACCCCACCCGTCCCTCGGCACAGTCCCCCGCGACTCTCTGCCCCGTCGACTGGCGCCGCTTGTTCCCCGCCCCCCCGCGCTCTCTCCCGCACCTCCCATCCAGCTACTTGCACGGGCTCTGAGCTCTCGGTTCTGGATGAGGGTTATATAACTGCTGCAGGAACGGCACGTTGTGTTTCTGCAAGGTCTTCTTCAACAGCAGAGATACTGTCTGACAGAGACGAGATCTAGCTCGCTGGAATCATCTTCATCGTCTCTTGCTGATAGTCTTCCCCTTCGGGCTCCTCTGTCCTCCCTCAGAGCTGCAAGTCTGACTCCTCTCCTCTTTCAGGAACTGGTGTCTGGAGTGGTTGAACTCTGCTCTGATCTGCCTCTGGGTGGACAAACGAGCGCGTTCTTGGAAGTTGTTGGAATCACTTCACTGTATGTTAAAATCACTCACACCTCTGTCTTGGTTAGTGGTTGTGATCTCTCTTTGCTTATCCTTTTAGAGACCCATTCTCAAGTCGATCCAGCTGCTTCCTTCAGGGTCACTGACTGCTTTCTTGGTGCGTGACTAGGCAAACCAACCTTGTGGACTCTGGTGGAGAGGAACAACTCACAGAACAGGACAGCACACTCTATCTTCATCCTTACAGAACAATTTAGCTCTTCGTTGATGTTTACTACAGAACCACCTCCACGCTTCTTCTCTCCGCAGTTCGTGTCTGCAGATGATCCAAGATTTGCGGTCTCCCGAGCAAAGGAACAGCCAGGTTCCTTCAGTCCAAAGTTTAACCTGAATTCCTTGAGGAGTTTCCTTTTACAAATGGGGACAGTTTCTTGTGTTTTAGCTTGTTGCCCAGAATTGCCTTCGTAGGCCGAGCGGTGAACGAGAACTGTAGTGCAGCTGCGAGAACAGCGGAGATCTCTGAAGTCTCTGAACACACGGAATGGCAACTTAAGGTAACTTTTCAAGCACAGAACTTTCTCAGCCATTTGTCTTGCGTATGGTAAATCGTCTTTCAACAGCCAAGAACTCACCAATCACTTGTACTCTTCAACTGAAAAAATCCAAACGTGTGTTCCAGGCAGAAATCTACACGCTGTATGGCCCGGTCTCAGCTCGAAAACAATGTCAAAAATCTACTTTCATTTCTTTTCACGCTACTTCATTGGTCAAATCCACACCCAGCAGGAAATGCGTCATTTGTTGAGGTCACACATTGACTGAAGCTCCTGACCTGTATCTGCAGGATTCTCCACTTTGAAATAAATGCTGCCACATGATTGGCTGATTTGGATAATTGCATGAATCAGCAGGTGTTTCCTAATAAAGTGCTCAGTGAGTGTAATTTGCCTTTGTTTACCTCCACACAGGGCAAAACAAAGTTAACACTTCAAGCTGTTCAGCTCAGTTAGTTCCCACTTATTGTCTGTTGCTGTTACTTGTTTCTTCTTTGTTGTTTTAAGTTTTGCATAAAAACCTAAAACCTCTTTTTCTCATCTGTTGAAAGTACTTTACACACACACACACTGCTTCCTGTATGTGAGGTGCTGGAGCTACTCATTAAAGACTTGAATACTATTGGTTGCTTCTCTGAGCACAATGTTTGACTATCTGTTGTCAGTCTGGCACAAGCCTATAACCCACTTTAAGAGAAGACGGATACAAATATTTAGTTTGAGGGATTTTGTGAAGGAAATTAAAGAAGTGCACCGTCGAGACAGTGAGTCCAAAGGTTGGGTACGAGACTAATAAAAAGCTGTAAGACAAAGTCTAAAGATAAATGAGAGTTGGAATAAAACATGTGATCAGATCATGATTGATCAGTTGATAAGAACGACTATGTTTGATCTTGACTGACTTCTGGATGAAAGATCAAGTGAATAAACGATGAAAGAAACACAAGCACAGAAACACTCACTCACCTCATTATTGATCTTAAACATCACTCAGTGAATAAGTGTCATCTTAAGAGTCTGATGTTATTTCATCATCACCAGTGTTTCCAGCAGTTTCTCTGTCTCTACTGTGACAACATACACTTTTCACTGTCATTCGCTAAATATAAAACACAACATTTCAGTAGGATCAATAGTTCAGTGTCTCTTCACCTTCGTGTCGATGTGTAACTGCATTTCCCACACTGCTTCACTCTACACTTGCAAACACAGGGACTGAAGGACAGGTGTCACATGACTTAGGTCACATCTTGTTCTGTACAAAGGTAATAAAAGCAGATAGCAGAATATATTGCCATTAATGAATAACCAATGAAAGATTTGGATGAAATTGAAAGCAGATTCTGTCATTGCTGAACGGAGTCAGGACGCCATTACAGGCTGGGAAATCTCTAACTGAACAATAATCACCTGGACAGTGTAAGAGGCAAGCTGAAGGGAAATTAAACTTGGTGAGTCTTTCAATTACAAACAATTTGTAAACAGAAAATGGCTGAGCGAGATCTTGGAAGCTTCCTGAGCTGCCCTTTGTGTTCAGAGACTTTCAGAGATCCTGTGTCTCTGAGCTGCAACCACAGCTTCTGTTCAAGCTGCCTGAAGAAATTCTTGGAACAAGCTAAAAACAAAAACTGTCCCATTTGCAAAAGAAAATCTTCAAAGGTTATTTCATATGTAAACTTTGCACTGAAGGAACTGGCTGATTCCTTTGCTGGGAGACAGAAATCTGGATCATCTGAGACAGAACTGGGAGAGAAGAAGGTGGAGGTGGTTTGTAGTAAACATCAAGAAGAGCCTAAATTGTTCTGTAAGGATGAAGATAGAGCTGTGTGTACTGTCTGTGATTTTCCTCACCACCAGAGTCACATGGTGGTTCCTGTAGAACAAGCAGTCAGTGACCTGAAGGAGCAGCTGAAATCTGACTTAAAGTCTCTACAGGACAAGAGGAACAAATATGAGGAAGTGGAGAAAACATACAGTGAAATGACTGAACACTCACAGAAGCAGCTGTTGTCCACAGAGAGGCAGATCAGAGCAGAGTTCAACAAGCTCCACCAGTTCCTGAAAGAGGAAGAGGAGTCCAGACTGGCAGCTCTGAGGGAGGAAGAGGAGCAGAAGGGGAAGACTATCAGCAGAGAGATGAAGATGATTCAGGAGCAGATCTCCTCTCTGTCAGACAGTATCTCTGCTGTTGAAGAAGACCTGCAGAAACACAACGTGCCGTTCCTCAGCAGTTATAAACCCACTCAGACCAGAGCCAGAGCCCAGTGCTCACTGTCAGATCCACAGCTGCTCTCAGGAGCTCTGACAGATGTGGCCAAACACCTGGGCAACCTGTCCTTCAGAGTCTGGGAGAAGATGAAGGAGAAGGTCCACTTCATTCCTTTCATTCTGGACCCAAACACTGCAAACCGATGGATCCATCTGTCTGATGATCTGACCAGTGTGAGACATGGAGACACAAAGCAGCAGCTCCCTGACAATCCAGAGAGATTCACTAAGTATGTCAGTGTTCTGGGCTCTGAGGGCTTCAGCTCAGGGAAACACAGCTGGGAGGTGGAGGTGGGAGACCATCCTGTCTGGAATGTGGGTTTGACTAAAGAGTCATTTGACAAGAAGGGAGAGATATCTGCTTCACCAGAATATGGATTCTGGTGTTTAACACATCGCAGTGGAAAATACACCAATGGTGTTGGTAAGACTGTCAAAGTGAAGAAGAGTCTCCAGAGGATCAGAGTCCAGCTGGACTATGACAAGGGGAAAGTGTCCTTCTATGACCCTGAAGACACGACTCCCATCTTCACTCACAGAGACACTTTCACTGAGAAACTCTTCCCATATTTCAGTATTGATAAGGCTGGTGACGCCAAAACCTCTGATATCAAACTGTGTCACACTGAGATTTCTCTGTGATGTTCAGGGATGTTAGTTTTTCTCTCATGATGGTTTGAGGTTTATTACACTCTAAACTCATCATCTCACTTTACAGCCAAGCTGCTTCTACACCTGCTCACCTGTCATTTAGTCTTTAAAACAGATGTGATTTGGTGTTGAGGGTCACTAAAACATTTAGCTCCTTGTTTCTGTGCTCTGAAATGAATTATCCAGAATTGTGTTGATGTACAAAACTGAAAACATGAACAACTCAACAACTGTTTTCAACTGAATCAGATCAGGAGATAAACTTTTATACAGCTGCAAATCAAGACTGATTTTTAAATAATATCATCATCATCAGTTTTAGTTTGTAAGATTTCTGATTGATTGTTGTTTAATTATTTTATTCATGAAGAGAATTGATCTGTTGTTGAGAGTCACAGAAACTTTACTGTCTGAAATTGATCATGTAAAATGATTTTTATCTTCAATCGCTGTTGTCATGGAAACTCACTGTAAAAACATGAAAACCCAAAGTGTTGTTTTTATATGAAAATCATTTAGTTACAGTTTTGTTTTCTTTAGTTCAGATTCATTCATGATGGTAACTCCTGCTGTCGATCTTCAGCTTTTCAAAACTAGATTTAGTTTGTAGGTTTGTTGGATCTTTATTCTTAAAATAAAGATTAATGTCCAAGAAAAAGTGACAACAAACTGCTGAAGCTGTATCACATCATCAGGAGACAAACTTTACAAATCAGAGCTGTTCATTATCCTGGTTCTCAGCATCTTGTTTTGAGTCAAACAACATTGTATAGTAGTTTATATCCACTGTCCTGATGCTCTGACTGTTTCACTTCTGTGACAGTTTGTTCATCAGCAGTTTTACTTTTTGATCTTCTTGTGTCATTTGATGAGTTTTGGATCTGTAGTTTTATTCTTTGGAAACAGATGTTTTAATAGAGATTCATTTTAATGAAGTATTTAATCACACTGCCTCTTCATACGTTATTTGTCATTTTTGTATCGGTCTACTTGGTCAATGACATGAACGCTAAATGTCCAGTTCATAATGGTGAGATATAGGTTTATCAAATGTACATCTTATGGATGCTACTTTACATGATGTGTAAATAAATCACCAGCAAGTTTTATTCAGATTTTTTTTCTGACAGGAAATGAGATTTATTTTATGATTTGTTTCCATTTCTGATAATCGTCATTTTAGAAAACTCAGTGTGAATTACAGTATACTTGTATGTATATCATAAAGCAGCACATTACTTCATCTTGACCTATTGATGGTTTAAACTTCATTTTTCTTTTCAAAACAACAAATGTCTTCCTGAAACTCTTTCAGTCTGTTTTCAGAACACAGTTTATCTAAATCTCAGTATCTGCTCTTCAACTTTTATTTACAAAATAAAACTCATGATATTTCCTTTTGTGACGTCACATGAAAACAAACTTGTAATAATCCTAAATATGTCAAACTATGTGAAGAATAAATCATTGCATGTTGGAGAAAGGTTGTACAACTTGTTTGATTTTGTTGGAGTTGCATTGGTTTTCACAGCAGTCAGCTGCTCACTGTGTGTGTGATGTCACAGTTAGAAACAGTCAGAAATCAGATCTGAAGATGGATCGTTTCTCTGTTACAGATCTGCCACAATCCTGTAGTTTATCATTAGAAAGTTACAGAAGGTCATTAAACAACTTCTCTTCCTGCCTGGACGACATTTCTTCAATCCTCATTGTTTTCCTGTTTGATTTTAATGAGAAATAAGAAATCGACAGAACATTCATGTTTTGTTCACAATATAAAAATCTGATCATTAGTTATTTGTACTTCATTTGTCAATCTCATTATAATCAGTCCGACCAGTGCATGATGGGATATATACTCATGTCCTCCTGTGACCCTGAACAGAGAAAGACAGTAAATGACATATGACTGAGTGATTGAATGAAGGAGTGAATCAGTGAGAACATGTGGGGCAAAGAAAAGAAAAAAACATCTGCACAAGATTAACAAGAAGAAAGAAGATCTGAGGGGTGAATTAAAACTTTGTAGCTGCATTTGAAGTTAATACCTGCAACATTTAATCTATCTGGAGCAAATAAACATCTTCATACTGACATGTTGGCACAATGTTTCCTGGTGCAGTTGCTGAAACATAAAATGTTGTCAAACTGGTCTGGTGTCAGTGGAGACGTTCACTCCTCACTGAGTGAACAGAAAACTCTCCTTGATTCATTCTTATTGTGAATTGTAGAAATGTTATAATCTATGTAATCTCTGATCTACATAATCTTTGTTGAGAAAAGGAGAGACGGATCAGAATGATGAGACATTTTCAATGTTGTGTTGTTTGCCTACAGATGACTGTGCTGTGTGAAACAAAGAGTCAAACATTTCTCTCTGAAACACTTTGTGGCAGCTCCATCTGCTGGTGACAAAATCACACGGCAGCGTTTCCGACTGTAAAATTCAACCAATGACAGAGGTGAAGAAAATGAAAATAGTTGTTTTGATTGTCATCGCTGCTCAGATGTCATTACAGGGTGTGACGGGACTGTAAGCAGAACGTTGAAGAGACAGTGACTTGGTGAGTTTTGCTGTTAAATATAATCAAGATACCAAGGAAATGGCTGAGAAAGTTGCTCTGGTTGAAAGTTACCTGAGTTGCCATGTGTGTTCAGAGACTTTCAAAGATCCTGTGTCTCTGAGCTGCAACCACAGCTTCTGTTCAAGCTGCCTGAAGAAATTCTGGGAACAAGCTAAAAACAAAAACTGTCCCATTTGTAAAAGGAAATCCTCAAAGGATTTTCCAACTGTAAACTTTGGACTGAAGGAACTGGCTGATTCTTTTGCTGGGAGACAGAAATCTGGATCATCGGAGACAGAACTGGGAGAGAAGAAGGTGGAGGTGGTTTGTGGTAAACATCAAGAAGAGCCTAAATTGTTCTGTAAGGATGAAGATAGAGCTGTGTGTCCTGTCTGTGAGTTTTCTCTCCACCAGAGTCACAAGGTGGTTCCTGTAGAACAAGCAGTCAGTGACCTGAAGGAGCAGCTGGAATCTGACTTAAAGTCTCTACAGGACAAGAGGAACAAATACAAACAAGTGGAGAAAACATACAGTGAAGTGATTCAACACTCCAAGAAGCAGCTGTTGTCCACAGAGAGGCAGATCAGAGCAGAGTTCAACAAGCTCCACCAGTTCCTGAAAGAGGAAGAGGAGTCCAGACTGGCAGCTCTGAGGGAGGAAGAGGAGCAGAAGGGGAAGACTATCAGCAGAGAGATGAAGATGATTCAGGAGCAGATCTCCTCTCTGTCAGACAGTATCTCTGCTGTTGAAGAAGACCTGCAGAAACACAACGTGCCGTTCCTCAGCAGTTATAAACCCACTCAGACCAGAGCCAGAGCCCAGTGCTCACTGTCAGATCCACAGCTGCTCTCAGGAGCTCTGACAGATGTGGCCAAACACCTGGGCAACCTGTCCTTCAGAGTCTGGGAGAAGATGAAGGAGAAGGTCCACTTCAGTCCTGTCATTCTGGACCCAAACACTGCAAACCCCTGGCTCCATCTGTCTGATGATCTGACCAGTGTGAGACATGGAGACACAAAGCAGCAGCTCCCTGACAATCCAGAGAGAAACACTCAGTATCACAGTGTTCTGGGCTCTGAGGGCTTCAGCTCAGGGAAACACAGCTGGGAGGTGGAGGTGGGAGACCATCCTGACTGGATTGTGGGTTTGGCTAAAGAGTCAGTTGACAGGAAGGGAGAGTGTCCTGCTTCACCAGAATATGGAATCTGGTGTTTATCACATGATGATGATGAATACACCGATGGTGAGGAAAAGACTGTCACAGTGAAGAAGAGTCTCCAGAGGATCAGAGTCCAGCTGGACTATGACAGGGGGGAGGTGTCCTTCTACGACCCTGAAGACACGACTCCCATCTTCACTCACAGAGACACTTTCACTGAGAAACTCTTCCCATATTTTAATATTGGAGAAGCTGGTGACGCCAAAACCTCTGATATCAAACTGTGTCACACTGAGATTTCTCTGTGATGTTCAGGGATGTTAGTTTTTCTCTCATGATGGTTTGAGGTTTATTACACTCTAAACTCATCATCACATTTTACAGCCAAGCTGCTTCTACACCTGCTCACCTGTCATTTAGTCTTTAAAATAGATGTGATTTGGTGTTGAGGGTCACTAAAACATTTAGCTCCTTGTTTCTAATAATATCATCATCATCAGTTTTAGTTTGTAAGATTTCTGATTGATTATTATTTTTTCTTTTGTTTTTGAAGAGAATTGATCTGTTGTTGGGGCTCACAGAAACTTTACTGTCTGAAATTGATCATGTAAAATGATTTTTATCTTCAATCGCTGTTGTCATGGAAACTCCCTGTAAATACATGAAAATCCAAATTGTTGTTTTTATATGCAAATCATTTACTTACACTTTTGTTTACTTTAGTTCAGATTTATTCATGATGGTAACTTTAGTTTGTAGGTTTGTTGGATCTTTATTCTTAAAATAAAGATTAATGTCCAATAAAAAGTGACAACAAACTGCTGAAGCTGTATCACATCATCAGGAGACAAACTTTACAAATCAGAGCTGTTCATTATCCTGGTTCTCAGCATCTTGTTTTGAGTCAAACAACATTGTATAGTAGTTTATATCCACTGTCCTGATGCTCTGACTGTTTCACTTCTGTGACAGTTTGTTCATCAGCAGTTTTACTTTTTGATCTTCTTGTGTCATTTGATGAGTTTTGGATCTGTAGTTTTATTCTTTGGAAACAGATGTTTTAATAGAGATTCATTTTAATGAAGTATTTAATCACACTGCCTCTTCATACGTTATTTGTCATTTTTGTATCGGTCTACTTGGTCAATGACATGAACGCTAAATGTCCAGTTCATAATGGTGAGATATAGGTTTATCAAATGTACATCTTATGGATGCTACTTTACATGATGTGTAAATAAATCACCAGCAAGTTTTATTCAGACTTTTTTTCAGACAGGAAATGAGATTTATTTTATGATTTGTTTCCGTTTCTGATAATCGTCATTTTAGAAAACTCAGTGTGAATTACAGTATACTTGTATGTATATCATAAAGCAGCACATTACTTCATCTTGATATTTCCTTTTGTGACTTCACATGAAAACAAACTTGAAATAGTCATAAATATGTAAAATTATGTGAAGAATAAATCATTGCATGTTGGAGAAAGGTTGTACAACTTGTTTGATTTTGTTGGAGTTGCATTGGTTTTCACAGCAGTCAGCTGCTCACTGTGTGTGTGATCTCACAGTTAGAATCAGTCAGATCTCAGATCCGAGGATGGATCATATATTACTATTATTATATTCTCTGATCGTTGTTTCAACATTTGACTTGAATTGAAATGAAGTTCAGAATAAAAGACAATACGAATAAATAAAACAAAAACGAATTAAAAGCTTTTTTCTCTATATTTAGTTCTATTGGATGAATTGAACACAGATATAGGAGCAGACTACTGCGATAGAAAAATGAAAACGTTGTTAAACTTGTTTAGTTTCAGTCAATGTGTTGAAATGTTTCGAAATGTTTCAAATAAAAGTTTTTCATTAATTTATTTCATGTCTTGCTTTATTTGTGGAGTTAACGCTCTTATTCTGAAAAAAACAAGCGGAAGTATTATGTTAACAGCATGAGAGGTAAACAAAGGCCGTTGCCCGATCTCCGCAGGTGTGGTACTCATGTTCAAACATGTTTTAATGAATGTAAGATGTGTCTGTACATACGTTTGTATCTTTAAATCCGGTCATTTTGCAGTCGTTGCTACCGCTACGAATATTTCCGGTATTTCACAGACGAGCTTGCTAACTGCTAACGGTAACGGCTAATCAACGTAGCTAGCTAAATAACTACTAACCACAAGGTATGTTGTCAGTGAGCACGTAACGATTTAAGCACAGAGGACCTTTCCCTACTGTAAATATTAATGCAAAGTGATTTGGGGAAAATATCGAAGTCACCATTCATTAAAGATCATTGAAATGAAAAGCTCTACAAACTCTACACTTAATTTTCTAGTGTGTTCTATAAAAATACGATGTCAACTGTTTTAAATGAGCTTTTTCTTCGGTAAAAACTCATGTTAAATCCCATGTACAGCTGAAACGAGTAGTCGATTCTGTGATTTACAGGTAAATAATCATAAACTATTTCGATAATCGATTAATCATTTCAGTTATTTGCCAAGCAAAATTTGTTCAAAAAATGCTAAACATTATCTGAGTCTATCAAATGCTTTCGTTGTAAACTGAATATCTTTGTACTTGAGATTGAACCAAACAAGATTTTTTTTTACTTTACTTTGGACTTGGACTGAAACTGTAGTTGTTTGCTTTTTCTTTCTTTCTTTCTTTCTTTCTTTCTTTCTTTTTTTTGATATTCCATAGATTTAATTAAAAAAAAAAATACATACATATATACAAAAAACAATTTCATTAATATCTGTGAGTTGTTAATTATCTATAGACTTTAACATCTATACATGTACAGGTATTAGGCTAGTTTACATTTTTTGAATTTCTGTATTAAAAACTAGGGTTGGATATAATCCCCCCAATTCAGGATATTAGTAATCCGACAGTATTTTTTTTATTTTTTATTATATGGACTCTTTTGCGTCTTTTTAAAGTCCCTACAGTAATGTTTTCCAGCTGAAGCCCAGCATTTCTTTCTCTCTTATGGCCAGCTGGTGCAATATTATTTCCTAAACCACACTCTCCCTTCTATTATGTTGCACGAAGTCAATGAAGATGGATGTGATGTAAGTAGAAATGCAACTGTGTCGTGGGCATGATGGTAAATTGTGCGTTATGTTTTGCTCTGCCAGGACCTGTGTCCAAGGAAATAAGAGATTTCAAGCAACAATTTGATGATTATGGACAATGATGGAGAACCCAACAGCAAATAAGAGCCACCTACCCTGTCAGTCGTGGGTGGGCCAGAACGGCTGGTCCACAACTTTAACTCAAGGACCCCCCCTCAACTCAGTGACCAGCTCTCAGCATCTCAGCTTGGGCTTGTCTTCTGAACAGCGACCCTCCTACGACCATCTGCAGACGTCCAATCAAAGCTGTTTGAGCGACCTCAGCACCTTATCATCCACAAATAACACTCATCACTCTGTCCTGTACAAAGCCTCTCACATTAGTAGCAATCTATCATCCACCACGTTATTTGCCAACACTGCTATCCCAAGTGCCTCTCCTCTTATTTCCTGTGCTCAGCAAAGCCCACAGACTTCATCACTGCTGCTAACTGCAAACCAACGAAAAACTATACCTCTACCATCTCTTCCCCAACCAAACCAAGGATTACAGCCCAGCAGGCCCCAACATGTACCACCTCTGTCACCCCATGACCCTTACAAAGCGTCATTTCGACCTCTGTTAACCAATCAGGGTTTACCAAGTAGACTTCAGGATCTGCCTATGAGCTTGCCATCATGTGGACAAAGTGTAAGTGCATCACAACCTACTCTGGAAGGAGCGAATGTGGAATCTGCTGGTGTTACTGGATACACTCACAGCTATGGCCCATCTACTTCTCAGGAGCAGCCTCAGTGGATATCATCATCACACTGCACAGGTATTGTATTTGTAATACCTGCGTGTTACAGTGGCATGTTTGTCATGTAGTGAAGGGTGAAAAGCCTCTTCAGTGTGGTTAAACATGTAGTATTTTGTGTCAAGTCTGATGTTCATATCAGAATTGGACCAAGACTATTTGAGCCAATTTTTTGACTGCACTTGAATTTTTAGATCCTAATTGAGCGTACTGAATTTTAAAAGAATCAAATCTTATAGCCATTATTTGCCTCATTATAAGTTCATGTTACAATATTGTACCATTTTGTACCATCTTACATTGTCTTTTCTTTTCCTCAGGAGCCGTAAGCAAATCTGTCCCTGATGCAGCTGCTCATCCTAACAATGAGCCATCGCAGGAGAACCTTACTCCTCTGGTGAGGAACCTAACCGCAAACACCAAAACAGAGGAAAGTTCTGTTGTTTTGGTGGTTTATTTTTGTACTAATACATCTAAGCTGTGGTAATTTTTTACATAATTTGTTGCTATCAAGGTTGACTGACTAGCATAGACGTGGAGTTCCATTGAAGATCATTACCGTTAATTTATACCTTTTAATGTTTTTTTAATAATTTTGATCTGCTTTCAGGGCAGCACTGAGATATGGCGTTCAGTACTTTTACATCACCGTGCGCAACTACTTAAACAGCTGGCAGAGATGGATAAACTTGTAAGTGTGTTATGGCAATTTTTCATCGAAGAAGATCAGTACTATTTCTTTAGATAGCTGCTATCCAGTATTACAGTAAAGATATTTTATTTCTTAATCCGTGATATTATAGAGATTGTTATAGATAATTCTCGACAGTTTCCCCCTACTGACTTGACTTTGTCCTCCCTCTAAGCTGGAATCAATTCCTCCAGATGACGGTAGTGATGGGCAGCCTCTACCCACAGCTAGTCAGGTAGATGACATTTCTCTTTATTTGGATGCTGTAGTTTGATTTGCAATGATATAAAACAATTCATATCTTATAATATAGTACGCACTATTGTTTCCACTCTTAGTTTCCTCCATCAATGGATGATTCATCTCAGTGTGAGCAAACTAAAACCAGCAATGCACAGCAAGTTGAGCTGTCTCCAGGAAAGTCAAGGGTAGCTCCATATTAGATTTATTAATTCTGCATAAATTACTTTTCTTAACTTTTACAGTGTTAGAATTTCTTACCTTCTTTTCGTTGTTTGTTTTGTTTTTCAGACGCAGCGGCATCTTTCAGCAGATTGTTTATCACCTGCGACCTTTGATGAACACGATGAGGCCTGTGATAAGCCAATGTCAGCAGGAGAATCAGAGGTAGTTACCTTTTATTATTAGAACAGTTTCCATGTGAAAGTTATGGCATTGCCCACAGTCTGTTTCTGTTATGTTCTTCTGTTCTTTAAGTTGCGTTTATGTGGTGTGACCTTTAACTGTCAGGCCTTAGGACACTCAAAGCTTTTCATTTCCTGTTTCAGCCAGTAATCTCATCAACGACAATATTAGATCTGAAATGATTTGTCAACTAATTGACTAGTCAATTGGCAGAACTGTAATATTGTGATGACTGCTAATCATCAGTCATTTATCAAAGGAAAAATGCTGAGTGTTACCTAATGCCAGCTTGTCATTTGTGAGGATTTCCTGCTTTTTTATGCCATATATAGTAGAAAATTGAATAGCTTTAACTTGGGCTTTATGAAATAGTGATGGGAATTTTTCACTATATTCAGACATTTATAGGCCAAAGCATTAACTGAAAATATTATTGGCAAATTAATTGATTATGAATAAAATTGTTAGTTGCAGCACTGAAAAAAATATGCATTTATATATTGGAAATATATATCAATCAAAATGAATACACCAATCAGCCACAATATTAACACAGATAACTGGTTTTAGTGTTGTGTCTGATCAGTGTATATTGCCAAATAAATTCAGACTTTAGGCAGGTGCAGACTTCAATCATACAAATAATGCAAACAGTAATTGACCTAAGAAAGTCTTTTGAAGTCGAATCTGTCAAATTAAAATCTTTTTATTAATATGTTTCTGTGTCCTGAAATATAAAATATGAAATACTCCGTAGGATTTTATTTGCCTCATTCACAGATTGTGACCATATTTCCACAATTGTTTTTACGGATTTTTCAGAAAAGGGAAAATACCTCAGCCGAGTCAGGGGATGACACCGATCCCGATTACATCCCTAACAGCGATGGCGACTTCTCTGATTTCCAATCTGACGCTGACTGGGGCTCTTCAGATGAATCTAGTCACAGCTGTTCCTCGACCTCCATGGACGAAAGAGCTCCTCTCCTGTTGAAAAAAAAGGCTAAATTAGAAAGTTCTTTGTGTAAGGACAAAGGTCTGAAAAAGTCATGTGCAACTAATCAGAATCAGCCCCCCGGAGCTGTAGTGCTGCCAACTTCAAATTCCAAAGCACACCGTGTTTACGACAAGAGGAATTACTGTTTGTTCTGCTCTAAGCCACTAGCCAAAATGGCACGGCATCTAGAGACAGTCCACAGTGACAAAGCAGAGGTTGCAGTTGCATTTCAGTATCCCATGCATTCCAGAGAAAGACAGAAGATATGGAACAAACTAATAAATCAAGGAAACTTTGTGCATAATAAAGATGTTTTGAGAACAGGGAAGGGACAACTTGCTGTCCGAAAAAGACCCAACACAACTGGACAAGCCAAAGACTTTCTTCATTGTCTTTACTGTCGCGGTCTTTATGTGAAGAAAACGTTGTACAGGCACATGAGACTGTGCCCAGAGAAAGTGAGGAACGAAAATGAATCGCAGATTGGAAGAAAGCGTATCGCATCACGGTGTGCGCTTGAAACTTTAGGAGATCTTGGTGTAAGCGATGGCTTTAAGAGCATTCTGTGCGAGATGATCTACGATGACGTGACACAAGCCGTCATGGATGACAAGATTATCTTGCAGTTTGGAGAGCAAATGTTCAATCAGCACGGATCTGACGTGAGGAAGCATGATTATATAAGACAAAACCTTCGTCAGATAGCAAGGCTTGTGCTCGAAGCTCAAAAAATAACCCCTCTGAAGAACCTGCAGGATTTCTTTTACCCCTCAAGCTTCCGACATGTGGTTTCTGCAGTGAAAGTCTTAGCAGGCTATGACCCAGAAAACAAAACATACAACATTCCTTCACTTGCCCTCAAGCTCGGCTACCACCTACAGAAGGCCTGTAGTATTGTTGAGAGTAACGCAGTGAAGTGTGGTGATGCAAGCCTGGCAGAGTCTGCGCGAAACTTCCTGTCAGTGTACCAGAAGAAATGGAACGAGTTAATTTCTTCAGGCGCATTAACAACTCTTAGAGAAACTAAACTGACCACAGAAAAAACTGTGCCATTCGCTCAAGATGTAAAGCGCCTGAATTTCCACATGGAGACTGCTCATCTTCTTGCCGAGAGAAAACTCAGAGACGCACCTTCTGCAGAAAGCTATGCTGTTCTGGCCAAGGTGATACTCGCTCGGACAATCATTTTCAACAGGAGGAAACCCGGAGAGATATCAACGATACAGCTAACAACTTTTATGTCGCGGAAAAAGTCAAACGTGCTTGATGACATGGATGTATCCGTCTCAGATTTGGAAAGAACCATGTGTGGGCTTTTCACTAGAGTTGACATACGAGGGAACTGTGGGAGAATGGTCCCTGTTCTACTGAAGCCCTCATTCGTGTCAGCTATGGAACTTCTCGTAAAGACCCGCGAGACGTGTGGGGTCCCCAGTAAGAATCCCTTTCTCTTCGGCCGACCGAGTGCACTGTCTGCCTACAAAGGGTCAGAGTGCATCCAACAATATGTCAAAGAATGTGGAGCTAAAAACCCTGAGGCGCTGACATCAAGAAAGATCAGGAAGCATTATGCTACAATGCTACAGCTGTTGAACCTGGATGAAGATGAGGCTGACCAAATTTTAGGCCCTAATAATCAAGTTCGAACCCTGCGACAGAACAACGACATGCAGCTGAATGATGTTGAAATGGTTTCTGAAGGTAATCATTTTTCAGTTTTTAGGCAATTAAAAAATATATATGCCAAAACACCAAAGTGACATTTTGCACAGTTAAATATTAAATACAGGATTTAGGTAAGGTGCCAGTCTGTGGTTACGTGTAGTATGAAGGTCGTTTCCACCTTTTTCACGTTCCACTTGAAAATACAAAAGTAAACCACTTTCTAAAGTAACAGCTGGCGTGATATTTTAATGATCTCTGAGTAATGTTGAACCAATGCAGTCCACACGTGTGCCATACTTTAGAGCAACTGTCATCATATTAAAGATTAAATCATATGCAGGAACCTGGAATACACATCCGTCTGGTTTTGAAGACTTGCAGATCTAAAAACCTTTTAACTGGACTTGGACTAGCTTTCATTTGTACATTTGATTTGATATCATGAGGCAAATGGTTCAGATATCAGTGCAGTGATCTATTGATGTAATATGGCTCAAACTAAATTGAGGGTTACATTCAATCAGTTGATGTTAGGGTGAAAACAAGGGAGTGACTAGTATCCTGAGAGACCACTGAGTAACTTGTTGCCATTGAATGGAGGGTGTTGCACCACATGGCTGTAATAAATACAGTCACCACGACCAAATGGCTGTAAGGCTGAAAATGGAATGTGTTGGCAATGTGCGTATAGGTAGATGGGATACACTATGTAAAATAAGACTTCCTGTTTGTGTCTTCAATGCAGTAAGATCACAACAAGCTGCATCATGGCATCACACTGAGGTCTCCGGTGCAAGCTATGAACCAGCAGATTTTTATCAACAACAAGCACATGGAGTAACAGCAGGCACCGAAGTGACTGTACCTCCAAGACCTGTCAACTCAGACAACAAAGGTAGTACCGGCGATCGTTAACCGTCTTTCTGTCCCTTTCTTTTTAGGTTCATGACTCTATGACATATTGTCTGTAAGCTTATATTACTGATATGTGATTTTGTTATACTTTTTATACACACGTGGTGCTCCTAAATACATTTTACAGTTTGCACACATCTATTTTTAGTTGCTCGCACTGTAGAGCCCTGATTTGCAAGGATTTTTATTTTTGACTTGCCAATCCACTTTTTAGGTGTTGATGGTCCCAAGCCTGCAGTTTGTCAGAATATATATATGTATATATATATATTGTTTTTGTCTTTTTAACACAATAGTTGTGTTACATCACATTGCCTAATGTTATGATATTAGACTTCCACAATTAATGATTATGATTATGTTTTTGGTTTTTATTTACTGCCTGTATTTAATTTGTCTGGATTGTCTGTTTCAATAGTTTGTTGATCTTCTAAATTGAATTAGATGTTCCAATCACCCTGTTTCATGTTTCAATTTCGTAATGAATGTAGTTTGAATTCTGAACACTATAGGCCACACATTTCAAAATCATTAAATCATGTCAAAGGGGAGACGAGACAAAGTGTCTCCAAATGTTGTTATTAATTGTTCGTTTTTGTTCAAGCTTAATTTGATGTCAAAACAAACAAAAAAGAAAATTTGGAGGGTGAGATTTACAGGTTTGAAGCTTTTGTCTTGTCTTTGTTTGGGGTCTTTGTCCACAAAAGAGAGTATGGTCGTTACAACAGTGTATATAAGATCCTGTCTTCAACAAACATTCAGCTTCATCTTAAGAATAAGACACCTTGCTGTGTAATGTCAGGAACTTATTTTGAGGAATATTTAGTTTTCTAGAGTTTCAGTGATGACAGAAGTTCATTCCTTTCTGCTTTCCCCATACCAGGGTCTCAAAATAAGGGCAAACACAAATGGGAAGAAGCAGAGGTTCTTGCTGTCGAAAGACACATGATGCGTTTCATTCAAGGACACAAGGTGCCTCAGAAAAACGACTGCATTCAGTGTCTTGAGGCTGAGCCAAAAGCACTGAGGACGCGTTCGTGGAAAGGTGTAAAGGACTACGTCAGGAACAGGATCACAGCCCTTAAAAGACAAAGTGGCACATCCTCAAACAGTAACAGGCCGGGGCAAGTGGAACCACAGCAGAGTACTGGACATTTTCAGCAGTTGTAGATGTGATATTTTGTTGATGGCAAAACGTGCAACTTTTGCCTCTTCTACTTTCTTATCCTTCACCAGCCTCTCTCCCTAGTTCCGTCCGTCCGTTTACAATGGCCAAGGATAGATTGATTATTGATCATTTTTATTACATTTTATGGTTGTTCTCAGTCAGCACTGTTTATTATGATTACAGTTTGTCTTACTCTGTGATTTTGTTCCATTTTATTAAGTTCATTAAAACAGAGACCGTTCATAAATACTGACAAATGGCTGATGGATAATACGTTTTTGGAGCTGTAAGTTTACCCTCCACAACCAAGTTATCTGGTATACTGCATTTTGTTATTCTGTTTGGTATACTAGTATATGGTATTTTGTTTGACTTTGTATAACAATTTACCAATAATAAAGTGCCAAGAATAATATTCTAGCAATTTATTTTTGAACAAAAAGATGCCACCCAGTCTTTGCATGTTTGAATGACAATCATGTCAATCATGTGGAGGACAAAGTATTCACTCAATAATAGCAGTATTTTACTCAATAATAGCAGTAGCAGCAAAGTTTCATATTCAAAAGTACAGAAGTTTTAGCAACAAAATGCACTAAAAAGTTTCAAAATGTAAAACTTAGGAAAGAGAATTGCATTTCCAGTGTTACATTGCCAAATGTAGTTTCAGATTATTATTACTAATAGCTTCTGCAGTATTAATTTTGTAGCTAATTCAGGTGAAGCTAATTTACATATTTTCTATGCTTAAATTTAATTTACATGTTATAATAAATTTGTGAGATAGTTGGGTACTAATCCTTAATGTATTATTTTATAAATATAGATTTTCTGTGTATGAACATCTATGATTGAACATCATATGATTGAACATTTATTTAATAGCTATAATTACTTTACCTATGTAGTGGAGGTGAAGAATAAAGTAGCATATAAAATGCAATTACTCAATTGTCACAGCACTTCTGTAAATGTTCTTAATTAGTCTCCACCACTGCATACAGTTTTATTTATTAATTTAATTTATTGAAGAAAGTATAATCTATTTACTTTTTAGATAGTTATACATAGATAGTTTAGATAGTTTATTGCTTTTTGTATTTTGTATTTTCAAATTCTGTTTTTCTTGTCCCCAAGTATCGCAGACTTTTAGTTTGAAAGGAAATGCGGAAACGCGTTGTGGTGATTCTTGCTAACTTATATGCTAACATTGCAGCAGGGCTCAGCGTCATGGACGCAACCGGCTGTGGTCGAACTCATGACCTCAAAGATGAACTAGTGTCGCATTGTGGATTCTTTATTTTAATATAACGGAGAGAAAAGCAAATTATTAACTTTAGTCTCTCTAAAGAGTTTCGCTTCCGTCTCAGCTGAGGGGAAATGAAGACGCTAACGTTAGTAACGTTGACGAACAACGGCCGCACGCGAGGTGGATTCCGTTGATGTCCAAAGGTATCGAATCAAATCTTTTATTACTTAAAAAATAAGGTTGCTTTTCTTCAAATTGAGCTTTTAATCTTTTATTTCACGTTGTCTGTTCTGTGGAAGCACTGGCTGTCCAGTGTCCGTAAAAGGCTTTCACATCCACAAGAGCACCTGTGTGTTGTGGGCAAATATTAGCTAGCGTCAGTTACAGAATAAACAGTTAAACAATTAACCGGGGCATAATGATTTTTTTAGACGTTTTGCTCCAACGATGATGTGTTTCTATCAAGTAGTTTAGGTAACGTGATGCTGGTGTGACAGCGCTAACTGCATTGGTCAGAGGATTAGAGTTTTCAAAGATGTAGGGTCTAAAAATACACACTTTGCTTTTTATTGTTTGCAGGCAGCCTTAAGCTATCTGCAACAGACATTGTCATTTTGAAATATGTGAGAGGAAAACAGGGAGAGTCGCATCACGACCCTGGAGGTGATTTTTGCATGTTTGTATTGCCTCGCTAGGTCCCGCCTCCGACGAGAAACGCACCTATCAGTGATGGTTATGGAGGATGATGGCCGTCCCCACAGCCAATCAGAACCAGACACCCTGTTACCAGTGGGCGGGACAGAACGGCTGGTCCACAGCTTCATCTCCAGGACCCTTCTATAATCATCTGCCCAGCGTTCAGCATCTCAGCCTATGCTCACCTTCTGACCAGAGACCATGTTACGGCCACCTTCAGGCTTCGAACCAGGGCTGCCTGAGCAACCTCAATGCCTTTTCATCCAGAAACAGCAGCGATCACAGTACGCTCTATGCTAATAATGCTGAGCAGAGTGTGCAGCATATCATTCCTAGTGCCCATGTTTCATCCATGGTTCCAGCTGCAGGCCAAGGAAAAAATATACCTCCATGTTCTCTCTCTCTTATGAACAATGGGACACAGCCTTGCAAGTCCCAACAAATGTCACCTTACGTTGCTCACAGCCCTTACCAAGCAATATCTCCCCCTTTCCAGCCTCCATACACACATCAAGGTTCACTGAATGGACCTCAGTCACCACAACAAAAACATCTGCCCATTAGCCAACCATCATTTGGACAATGTGTAAACCAGAATCCACAGTGTACACCCCAGCCTGCATTTGAGAGGGCAAATATGGAGTCTGCTGTTAGTGCTGGATATATCCACAATTATGCCTCACCCGACTCTCCTATCCAACAGCAGCCTCAGTGGACACCTCCACTACACTCTAGAGGTAGGTTAATGTGTAATATGTACATGATGTACTTACATGCATGTTGCAGAGCCTCCTGCATGAGTAAAGATGAAGTAGTCAAAGTTGAGCAACATTGGTGAGTAAAATTGTGAGTATCTTAAGCTCCAGACCAGTGGCACTATAAGAAAAAATTTTATTGCTTTATCCCCATCATTCAGGGTGTATACCACCATTGCACTGATCAAAGTGCATCTTTAATTCTTCCAAATAAGTGTTGCAGTCTGAATGAAAACAGCCCACTTTCGAATTTAATACTCTAGTCTGAATCTTTCCTCCATTGTCTGGCTCCTCTGTTTTCTCCTCAGGAACCATAAAAGAGTTTGTTCCAAGTACAGCTGCACAGGACAGGAACATCACACCACAGGTGGGGGAAATAAAGTTAAAGCATTAAAACTGTTTTAATGTAGAGGTTATTACTAACACAAATGTGTTTTTTCCTAATTGATTAACCAGCAGATTATTTTCTCAGTTAACTGATTAATTGTTCGGCCTGTAAAATGTCACAAAATAGTGAAAAATGTTCATCACAGCTTCACCAATTCACATCTTCAAATGTGTTGTTTTGTTCAAGCTACCGTCCAAAGCTTAAAGATGTTTTGTTTACAATGCTTTAAAACAGAGAATGGCATCAAATCCTCACATTGGAGAAGTTAGAACCAGAGAAGGATTGTTGTTTTTGCCTGAAGAAAATATTGAAATGAACATCAAAATAGTCAACTCTAGTAGAGATTCACCCTTAAACTTTAAAGCAGTAACCACTATGTACCTTGCAAAAAAAAGACATCTTTCTAGACTCAGATTAGCTGCAGTTCTATAAAATGTACAGTCTAGAAAACAAAATCTCACAAAAAACTGTCTCAGTATGTAAGAATATTGTCAACTTTCATGTATAAGTCTTTAAATTTTCTCTCTGCAGTCTCCCAACTCTGAGTCTCGTTATGGCCTGGACCCAGAGCTGCTGCCCAGTGCTGTAAGTTCTTTCATTGTCTCTCTTCACATCTTTTCTTGACTGACTTCCACACTGCATTACAAAGCATCATATCAGTTGACATGCTTCATATGCTGTTGATGTGTGTTGCCCTTTACAGTACTTGTTTTAGAAAGCTAGTAAAATGGCTAGAGGTCGAGTATGGCAAGTAAAGGGACCAGTGCTTGTGTTAGTGACACTGCTATTACTAAGTAGATGCGAGTGAACGACATTCCAAGACTCTTGGGCGACATATATATATATTGCTTATTAGTAATTTGATATATGTTCATACAAAGGCCACAAAGGCTATTCTTGCTGATTGACATAGGTGCACCTTTGTCTCGCTCTGTCTGTGTCAGGTGAAGGTAATTGCAGAGGACAGGGCAGAGTGGGAGGGCAAGGTCTTCGTCGCAGAGCCTTTTTCTCGTCTTCCTCCTCTGGCAACGACTTCCTGTATCATCGAAGACAGAGGTAAATGTGCACAATCAGTCTGTATCTGTCACAAAGATCCACTAAATAAAAATGTGTTCACCCAGTACTATGGGTGTAGATTTCATTCTTAACACTGCATCAACATTACGTTCAACATTGCTTTCAACATTATTTTCAGCATTATGACTGAAATTCCAGCAACTTTATACACTGTGCACAATGAATGTTTTTAGAGCTCAATTAAACGTGGATTTGGGGATGTCAAATGAAAAAATTAACTTTTACTTAATACTTTTACTGCAGCCTGTTGAATAACATCGATGTGATGTCTCGTCAATTAAATGTGGAAGGTTGCAAGGTCAACAGCTTGTTACTCCGCCTTGAGATTAGTTCATGCATGCTAAATGTTGCTGGACATCAGTTTATTAACAGCTGTAGTTTGGTCAGACAGAAGAAAGCATAACAACGATTCCTGTCTACCCTTCAAGTGTGCAGTGGAAGTTAGAGCGACTCATATTCAGATTTTTAATTGTGTGTGTTTGACGTAACTTTACGTCAACATTCATATCATTATTGACCTTGTCTCTGTTGAACTCTAGGTAACACAAGTCCTTTTGCCATCCGTTCCACCTCATACTGTGTGCCCTGCGAAAGTCAGACCGCCCTGCTCAGTCGTTTGCCGCTGGGAGCTCTGGTCACTCCTCTGGCAAAACAAAGTCCTGGAGAGGTCAGTTTTTAGCTTCTTTGCTTAGTCTTTAATCTATTTTAAAAATCATATAGAAAAATAAAGGAAATGACAAATAACAACTCACAAATAAAGAAACTCAAAACATCCTAGAGATTTTTTTCCTGGAAGTGAAGTCATACACCAATATTTTGTATCACTACAACTAACCTATGTGCTGTTTACAGTGATGGTTTCTGTGAAGATGCTGAAGTGTATAAATGTGCATTTGTTGTCTCTAGAAGCCTCTCCCAGTTTGCAAAGAGTCAGAGTGTGTTGTGGGATGTAGTTGGTGTGGAGCCTCCATGTGCCCGGCGATGGGCTGGCAGGACTGTGGTCAGAGATTTTACTGCCCCTTCTGTGGTAAACTCAGTGAAGGTAAGATTTAACATTGAGCATCTTGAACTGCCCTGGGTCAATTTATTTGTCACATCCTGTGTGTTAAGCAGTTGCACCTAACCTGGTTGTAGTTTTCTGAGCTTGTTGCTTCATTTTCATGCAACAACATCTCTTGTCTCTTTGTGTCTCAGTGCCGTGGCAACACTACCAGCCCACCAGGGGGGTGGAGGGGGTTCGGGTCGATAAAGACAAGAGGCCTGAACTCAGTCTGGGGTCATATGAGATTCTCAATTCTCAGACGGTTAGTTTCCCTTACTATAATTATCAGTTTTGCATGTAAGTTGTTATTATTAGCAGCTGTTGAATATGTGATTTGTCAAACATATGTACATGTGTGTGTCGTGGGAAGCAGCAGTCTGGACACTGAATGTGTGAGACAGTCACTTTGCAATACAATAATGCTAAAGCATCTGGAATAGAAGAACCAAGGGTCATTAAGATTCATTTTGATTAGTTTTATATGTGACTTTTTATGAGGATTTGTGTAACCTGATACCAATTTATATGATGATTTGAATATTTTTGGATTTGAATTGGTGCAACAAAATGAAATTTGAAAATATCACTCAGGAAACTAATAATCCAGTAATTAACTAACTTATGTTGCAACCCTCGTTTGATGTAGTAAATTGTAACTATAACTGGGTAATAACAGTGGAAATAGTGAAATCTCAGCCCCCAGAATAATGACTCTTTTATATTTATGAGGAAAATTGTTGTCCTTGTATCTCAGGGTGAACCTGCTGCACTGCTGCTAGCCATAGACGTGTCTGCCTCAGCGCTGAGAGGAGGACATTTGGAGTTTATAACACAACAAATACACACTCTGCTCACCTCTCTGAACAGGTAAAACACACACACTCCCCCCACCACACTAAATACGTACACACACACACACACACACGCGCACACACACACACACACACACACACACACACACACACACACACACACACACACACACACACGTGTACAGTATTTTGCAGCCTGCACAGTAGTACCCCTGTGCATGTTTGGAAGATGCAAGAAAAACAGGAACAATGATCTATTGATCTTTCATCTTATTTGTGTAGGGAAGATGGTGACGCCTTGTCGGATGTCCGCGTCGGCTTGATGACGTATGACAGAAGGATCCACCTGTACAACCTCAGCCCCGCCCTGTCTCGCCCTCACATGCTGGTCATCACAGAGACAGAAGACCTGCAGCTTCCCGTGAGGGAGGGGCTTCTGGTGTCCCTCAAAGACTGTATAGACAGCATCGACAGGTAACAGACATGTTTACTGACCATTTTGTCAGACAAATGTATTTTGCGAAGTCTGTATGCTGGACTGACACAGTGGAAATTCTGCTCATTCTTTCATACATTAATATTTTCATTTTATGTTCATGTTCTAGCTTTACAAAGTGAACCTAAAATCTGATGAGTTCAGTTTTTGCTTTAAGATTTCAATTTGAAAAGCATCCATTTAAAATCAGTTGATCCCAGCAGCTGGAAGTGGACCAATCAGAACTGACACTGACACCTCATACCCCTTTGAAACTCCAGAATTCCCTGTAATTTAAGAAGAATTTAGTATTTTGAGAACAGTCAGTTTTTTCTAGCTTGAAAATCAGAAGAAAACGACAGTGATAAAGCTGTGATTGACTTTTTTGTTTTTGTTTTGATTCATCAGCTGTAGGAGGAACTGACACTTGTCTGAGGGTCATTAGCCTAAATGGCAATGTTGGGTGGCAGCATCTTCCCTTCTTTGTAGGCAGACATGCACACATGTAAAATTGATGCTTAGTATGTGCACTACAAGAAAAAATTCTCAGTGCTCAGAAAGTAATAAAATACTTTCCTTCAAATAAAATTGACAAAGTGAAAATACTTTTGCTGCATTGCTGAAGATAATTTCATCTCTTTTGTGTCATTTGGCATAAAGTGAACACAGATTCCTGTTGTTTCATTGTCTGTGTGTTTCTGTGTGTGTAGTGTGCTGCAGCTTATTCCTCAGTTCAGTGCAGAGTGTGATGACTCTAGTGGAGTTCCAGTGGAGCTGCCGGTCAAAGCCGGGCTAGCTGTACTGCAGGTTGGTTATCATGACTTCCTATTCTACATCCATTGGAAGTTTTATTTTGTGTGTTGTGGCTGTATGACTATGGATAAAACCATAATCCTGATTATTTTACAATCTGTCAGTATTTCTGGAAAAACGTTATTTTACTGATGGTTAGTTTAAAAAAGAGTTAAAAAAAAAAAAAAAAGCAATTTAATGTGATTGTTTGTTTGTGTGTTTATTAGGCTTTGGGTTGTCCTGGCAAGCTGCTGATCTTCCATACTGCCTCTCTGATAGAGACGGGACACACAAACTCCTCCTCAGGGTTCTTTGGCTCCAACAAACCAAAGGTACATTTAATACACACTCTGTGTAACAAACCAAGTAGTGGCATCATTCAACCAAGTTTGATAAGGGTCACTCACGGTGAAGTGCCCTTAAGCTTGAACCCTTATCAACTCTAGTGGGTGCTTCAGTTGACCTCTGACCTTTCTGTTGAGAGGAAGGAAGCAAACAATAGCAAAGACCTTATTGGTAAGTCTTGCCAGCAGCCATCCTGGCAACGCCTCCAGGCAGTTATTGCAGGCTAACAATATCAGGCCCCTATCTAGATGAAGAGAGTCATAACTTCACTGTCGTAGGTCACCGGGGCATAAAAACCGCTTCAAAAGTTTGGTGACTTTTCCCCAAAATAATGTTTAAAATGCTTTGGCCCCACAGATTATACTGCTACTACGCATGCACGAGTGCAGCTCATCCCACCAGAGCAAGAGTTTATGTCTGATGTTTGAATAAATGAAGTTGAGGCAGTGTTTGTTTTGATAATCATTTTCCATAGACAACTAGCACAAAGTTTGACAGTAGACTAGAAAGTCGGCTTTCACTCGTGAGCCAACTAGTTTTTTTCTGCTGTGAAGCTCAACTATGCGCTTGCATCAGTGCAGCAACATTTACTGGCTTGATATGGGGCAGGATATGTGTCATACAACCGCCATCTTTGGCGTTAAGGACTTTTCTATCCAGGATTCTTTAAGTGGTTTGCTGTGTGGAGTTATAACGTGTGTTTCACAATTGTATTGCTGCATTAATTTCCTGCTCTTTTGTTTTTCCCAGTCCATCTTTCAGCCATCAGAGCCAGCCGTCTCTTTGGCCAAGGAGTGCGTCCGTCAGGGCTGCGGCGTTCACCTGTTTGTCCTGTCCCAACAAGACGTGGGTGGGGCTTGGCCCGGGCACATTCCATATCTTACAGGCGGAGCTCTGCACACCTACAGCCACCTCCAGGTATTTCAGCAGCTCCTCCTGTTGTAACACAACATGTGGCACAAAATTAACTGCATAAAAAAGACATGTCATGACATCTTTGATAATTGAGTCTGCCTGCCAGCACATGTGAATTTCATTGATTAACTCTTTGTATATTGTTTGTTTAATGTTTACAAAAACATTCAGTTTTACGGTGGTTATCTGCCAAACTATTTCTTGGCTCTCAACAGTTGATCACCCAGCAGAAACTGCAACCAAGAAACAGTCTGGCACATAATCTGTAGAAACCTAAAGTGCTTTTCGTAAGGATCAAACAAAGGAGATATAGCCTGTTAATTAGTGACCTTTAGATGTGCCCGCAGGTGGACTTTTATTATCACTGGACAGAGCCAGGCTAGATGTTTTGGCTTGTTTCCACTTTTCATGCTAAGCTAAGCTAACCAGCATGGCATGAAAGTGAAAAATTCATATATTCTAAAGTGTTGAACTATTCCTTTAAGTAAAATTACAGAACTGGCAACTGGCTAGAGATCCTTAAATCCAAAGAGTTGCCTTGAATTGTTGGCCGAGATTTATGTTGCGCTCATATTTTTTCAAAATATGGCTAATTATTCAGCTTCTGTCATCACTTTAAAGCAGCTGATAGTGCAGCATGGAAGTGGTGTGTGACTGGAACATGCTGAGCATACAGAATTACAGTATTGCATGTTTTATTGTAGACGGCTATTTTTCAAATTTCCACTACAGGGAGAATTGGACAGAGAACGTTTCAGCGCTGATCTAAAGAGGACTGTAGATGTGGACACAGGCTACAAGGCTGAGCTCAGGATTTTTGTCAACAAAGGTGAGAGATTTTTTTTTTTTTGAAAAGTGTGATCATGCAGCGAGTGTCCTTTTTCAAAATGCCCATGATTCCAATATTTGTACCTGTCTCACCAGATTTACGTGTGTCCGGCTGTTTTGGGCTGTTTGTCCCCGGACCGAGCCCCGGCCATGTCGCCATGGCAACCCTTGATTGGAGGACAACACTGGCTGTGGAGCTTGCCCACACCAGAGCTCTGGATGAGACACGAGGTGTAGCCATACAGGTGGGTTAATGTTCACGATCATCAAGAAATCATCAGCATCAGAAATGGTTTAGACAGCATCAGTGCCACAGGCTTTTTATTAGACTTGTTCTTCTTCTTCTTTCTTTTTTTTAACCATAATCCTCCTCTTCCCCCTCTTGTGTCCCAGACTGTATTGTCTTACAGCACACAGACAGGAGACAGGAGGACCAGGGTTCACACTCTGACCCTGCGCTGCTCACGTCAGCTACAGGATGCTTTCCGCCACTACCAGGCCCAAACTCTACTCACCTTCTACTGCAAGAAGAGTAAGGAACTTGCACTGTACATTATTGGATTATTTAGGTTTTAAACTATGATATAAAAATACAAAATCAACAACTGCAGCAAAGTTCGACTGTGGGCAAAAGTACAGTCAGACATCTAGCACTGTTACTGAACGTCTGTTAATGTCAAATTAATATTGAAACCATAATATGATATCCACAAACAAATGCGAACATGACCACAGTAACTGAGTGATAACTGAACCTGCGATTATGTTATGTGCTGTATTTGTATTTCTGTCACAATGAAGATTTTTCACCTTCACTTGTAAATGTAATAGAAAATACAATGTATTCACTGTGTAAAATACAGAAAAGATACAAGTCTCCTGTGTAATGACCATATTTATTTTCAGTAATTTGTCTCAAAAAAGCCATTTGAATTTAAAATGTCAGGAGTTATTTGTGTTCTGATTTGTGTGTTCAGTGTACTGTGCAGTGTTGGAGCGCCCTCTACAGGAGCTGAGGGAGGAACTGCAGACAGAGATAACAGAAGCATTGACGTCCTACCGCAAACACTGCTGCTCTGCCTCAGTGTCTGCAGGACAGGTGAGGGTTGGAAACAGAATATACTTAATAGTTTTACATTTTTCCGGAAGCATAAAGTTTCCTTTTTTCTTACGAAGTAAGAGGGTGCACTGTTGGAAACGTCTAAAAAGTTTCATTTATGTACTATACTCTCTCTCTCTGTGTTTTGCAGCTGGTCCTTCCTCAGTACCTGCGAGCTCTTCCTGTTTACATCAACAGTCTGAGGAAGAGCGAGGTGCTGCTGCCGGGCCTGAGGAGCTCCATCCACCAGCGACTGCAGCAGCACTGCCAGGTGCTCAGCATGGACACCTGCAGCACCGCCACACACTTCTACCCTCTGCTGCTGCCTCTGGTCAGTACAATCAGCACACAGGAGTTTGTCTTGATCAGAGTGAGGCCTGATGTTTGGAGGTTAAATTCTGCACTAGAGAACTAAAGGACAGAATATTCAGTAGTGGCATGAAATATTGACTTTTAATGACTTAGAGCACTTTAGTATGAGTAAATAAAATCAGTTTTAACATCAGCAACTGTCACAAAATATGCCAACCATTCTTTGTGGTCACACAGTGAATGGGACTTAATTGGAAGAGTAGCAGCTCTATGTATATGCAAGATGTACTAGGCTGACATGATCAGTGTTGCTTTTTGTGATAACTTAACTCTCTGCATTAGTGTTTTAAATTTTTTCATTTTTTAAAATTGTCTTTATTTTACACTGTGGTATTTTTGTGTAATCTTAAATTAAACGTAAAAACCTGACATTGTGTACAGAAAAAAAGATGTGGTGATGAAAGTACAATCTACATTTTCATAAAAAAAAACTAACAAAAAAAAACAGCGTAAAAGGAGGAAGAAGCTCGTTCACTGTTTTGCAAAGCAAAGCGATAGTCTTTCCTTCCATTTTAAAAACAATTATCAGTAACAGGCAGGTCATGTTGGGGAAGTGTTTTGCTTTTGTAGTTTTGGTCAGACAGAATCACTAAATGTGTGTCACATTCGTGTTATTTAAATTTTCTGTCCTTTCTCACCTGCAGCCTCTGTCAGTTGAGAACTACGACCCTCCAAACCCAGAGAAGGCGCTGCGCTGCTGTGCCGCCAGCCTGGAGCCCAGGGCTCTGTATTTGGTCCACGCACCCCTCACTCTGCTGCTCTGGGTGGGCACTCAAGTCCCAGCAAGCACCCTGGTCGATCTCTTCAACACCACTTGCTTCTCCTCCCTGCCCTCTGGAGAGGTAAGAGATTACAGTAATGCTGCACCTGCTACAGTAGATTTAGCTTAGTTATAAAAATGTAATGTAAGATGAAATGAGCATTTTAATTTGTGGACAATGTAAAAAATTTAAAATAATATAATAATAATCTAATTGGCTGCAAGTTTTCATGTAAATGTTACAGGGTGTATGTGTGTGTGTGTGTGTGTGTGTGTGTGTGTGTGTGTGTGTGTGTCTCCAGACCAAGCTGCCAGTTCTTGACAACCCTCTGTCCGTTAGCATTCGATCCCTCATCAACACACTGAACTCCCAGGTGCCCTGCGCCCGCCAGGTGAGCTGCTGCTTGAGGCCAAGATTTTGTATTTCAACAACAGTCCCATGAGTCGGCCAACGTGACCTTAATGACCTTAAGTTACACAGCTGCTGTCTCAATATGTGAGGCTGATGAACATGTCCTCTCTTGCCAGACTCTTGTTGTCGGTCTAGTTCTCCTTGTACTGCGTTTACGTCGCCTCAGATGTTGTGTAAACTTCAGTTGCTCTTATATCTTCCACTCAGTGTCAAATGATGCTTTACACTACAAAGCTAGAAACAAAGGGAACACTACAGCTGACTGTCTGCCTTATTTACTTTGCATTAGTTATGCTAAGTAACTTTAGTAGACTTTAAAAAAAACAAAAAACAATTTAGCTCTTTAGATTCATGATCATCTTGCTACTTGTCACTGTATGAATCTTCTATTGTTTAATCTCTTAAATGAATCTGTTAAGATTTTGACTTTTTATCAATTTTTTATTGTTCAAGTAAACAAGCAAACAAACCTTTACCTCCAAACATTTACCAGTGGTTTGAAGGTAATCCAGAAAGTCCTTACAGAGCTGTAATGATAACTATCTGCTCTATTCCACTTTAAAGGCATTAATTGAAACAGAAATGTAACTGTGGACTGCCCCTTAATGTGGCCATCAGCGTTACAGTGGCGGACAGTTGAGAGCTCTGCATTTGAAAAGCAGGACTTTAATTAAGATCCCAGACAATGTTTGAGGTGAAACCATCACTTTTTTACCGTCCTCCACATCCGCAATAAAATCGAAATCATGATAAATGTTTCAAAGTGGGATTTGACTGATGATGCACCTCTTGTTGCCACTGACAAGACTTTATCTTTCTGTCTCAGCTGTGGGTGGTGAAGCAGGGTGACACCTGTGAGGAGGCTCTGCAGCGCCACCTGGTGGAGGACAAGAGTCCCAACGGGGGAGCGTCCTACGCAGACTTCCTCTACCATCTTCACGTCAACTCTGTCCGGCTGCTGCAGTGACCCGCACACACACACACATACATATTTTCTCTGGGTGCATTATCTCCTACAAAAGATGACACTGCAGCATATTTGACCTAAAAAAACAAATAAACCAGAAGAAGAGGAAAAAAGTATTGTTAAAGATTGTTGGAAGTTGGAAACATTAAAGGCCTGTTATCAGCGAATCAGGCGATGCATGAGGACATTTTATGAGATAGATCATTTTATTTATTTAATGACTGCTATGATATCGTATGTGTGACGTGTGCTGTGATGAATGTGATCTGTGTTCCTCTGGTACTGTGTTTATGGTGTTAATTTATTCCTGCGTCATGACAATTCTCTAATCCGTGTCTGAGATTGGTCTGTGTGTTGGCCGTGTGTGCGCGTGCGTGTTCGTGTGTGTACGATGGACACAGTCGGGTGTGTGCATAATCTCCTGTAAATAAATGAAGGCTTTAATTGAACCTAGATATAAGTTTTAAATGTTTTTTTTCCAGTGCACTTTAGCCAAGGGGAGAAAATCTGTGGAACTTTCTAATTAATGTGTCTTAAATGGCATCCGGCAACAGCAGATGAGTATGTGACTCAGGAAGCCGAAAGGGCAACTGTCTAATGAGGCCAAGTGGCTAATAACTCTAATTGCCAGTATTTTTATTGCTTCAAGGGTGGGAAGCACTCGAGCATGTAGGTGTAGCGTGGGGGCGGAGTTAGAGGCGGTTGTGGGGTGGCACTTGTGTTATTTTTTTCATTTTCTATTTTACTCATATTCTGACGTCACTCACAAATTTGATGGGGCAGACCCTCTAACAACGAGACAATAAGTCTTCAGCCACGGTCAGGTTGTGTTACGCTGCATTCACACAGTGTCTGCAGAACGGAAAGAAGAAACACATCCATTATTCTGATTTGGTAGCGTTCACGGATTATTCCTAAGTGGTTAAACCTAGTGCTATATTACTGTTGTTGTGTTACATATGCGGAACACAAGTGAAACCAGATACAAACTGTATATCTCCAACAAAATTAGCTGAATATATTGTATTACGGTTCATATTAGATTTTATTTTGATGTAACTCCCAGCGATGATGCCATTTGTTACAATGTCTGGTTCTTCTCACCGTTTCTCTTCTCACATTTTTCTCACTTGTTTGTTCATAATCACGGTTTAAACGATATGATGTGAACAAAGCATAAGGCACACAGCGGTGCTTTGAGCAAAATGCTAACACGTCTTAGTTTAGCGCGTTAGCATTAGGACCAAACAGCACTAATTAGCACGAAACGCAAAGTACAGCTGAGGATAATTGAAATGTCATCAGTTCTGTAGGTATTCAAAGTATCGGACAAGTTAAAATTTTGACCAAGTGATGGCGCTGCTGCTAACGTTAAGGAAACACCATTTCATCTTCAAATTTCATGGCAATGCATCCAGTAGTAGTCGAGGTCAACCACATTAAAATTCATTAATCCATCCAGTAGCTGCTGAAATATTTTAGTCTGATGGACTGACCAACTGACCAACATTTCCATCCCTAGAGTCACACTGCTAGAAGTGCTAAACAAACATCTAATACTCTTCAAACGAGATGATGCAATTTCAAATGAGATCAGCCTCTCCAGCATGTGCTAGAGATGGTGTTGGAATTATGTGTAGGAGAAAAAAATAAATCCTGGTGCAAGTTGTTTGTAGGAAACTTTGATGTCAGTTAGTGATCTTTAAGTAAAGGTGGTGTTTCTGTCAAGTGCCATCGAGAGAGAGAGAAAGGTGCTGACGTTTTTCCATCTGATAAATCATTAGAAGTCAGAGGAGTCGATGCTGTAATATTTTTTGTTTTTGTTTATGAGATAATTAAGTTGATTAAAAGGGATGATCTCTAATTGCATAACATTTTATTTATTTATTTTTAATCATTTTTACTCTTTGACTCCTTGGACTCTGCTCAGCCCTGATCACACATCTTTTATTTTTGGATTTAGTCACTCACTTATCTTCCCAAATGTGCAACATACTTCACATTAATTGTCTGTGCAGAAATGAGCAACTCTCCTAAAAGTTATAATCAGTTTCTTTAGCCTCACGTGACGCCTCTGTAATCACCAACTGGAGGTCACATCATGTCCTCTGTCCAGTTTTTGAATCCGGTGCTACAGTACATCACGTCTTCATACCCACTCTGAAAGAAAAAAAGATCAACACGGCACATTCAAATGATTTCTCACTGTGTGTCCTGCCAAAAATCTGCTGATCACTCATGTCTAATGTGCACTGTTTTTTTTTATTGGCAGTGTGTGTAGGGCGTCCTGCTTTGGCGAATTTGTATCCTCAAGCCTTTTGGATGCAGCACAGATAGAGTCAGTGTGGGATCACACTGACCGAGAAGGTGTGGGCCGCTGGAGCAGAAGTTAAACTGCAAGTACTCTGAGTTTGACACTTTCTCTTGAGGCAAGAAGAATTTAAAATATGAATTAAAGAGATCAAATCAATGAAGAGAGATGACACCAGGCCAAGATGGTGTCGTCGGGGCTGAGGACGCTGAGGTTGTGTTGTTGGGAGTTTAGGATTTTACATTCTACAATTACACACATATTTATGTTTATTTATTTAAAGGTAAATTGCATGAACAAGTTTATAAATCACAAACGCCACAGCTTTCTCAGCTTTGGCCTGGGTTGTGTCTAAGGCAACAAGACTCCACGTGGTAAGGAATTAGCTCAACAAGTAAGAAACCTGATTATGAGACTTTATAAAGATGGGAGAGCGTACAAGAGCATCAGTGGGCTACTAAACATGAGCAGAAAACACAGCTGCAGCAGAGGTTTAGGAGGTGTAGGTAGAGCTGTACTACCAATAACAGAAGGGCGCAGCGGCTGGCCTTTTGAAAAATAATGCCACTGTGGAAATTAGTGTTTCAGTGAAAACCTCTATGGATGGCATCAAAGAAAAAAAACATTGCTCACAAAACAGCACAAAATTGCAAGATTAAACTTTGCCAAAGAACAAGAAAATGAGCCTGATGAATGAATTGGTGGCTAGTCAACTATTTTCCTAGCAGGATGGGGTTCTGTAGGAGGGGAATCTGGACCCAGGACATATTTCTAAAATCAAATATGGGCAATTTTGCATCATGCCATGTCTCCTACATTTGAAACTTTGCAGTGCACAACATGCAATTAGATATTTATCATGCAATGCAAGCCAAATGCTTTGCAGCCAACATGTTGCTATGGTGACCTGCTTCTTTAATATCCTTAGTTACGTTTTACGGTATTGTCTACAGAGCTATCTCCGCAGCCCAACGCACCCAGGCTGTTGCTGTGTTGTCTGAATTATGTCTTTCTAAAATTAACCGCAGGGTTAATGTGATGATTCTCTCTGTGATGATTCGTGGACGAAACTGTGAAACATGTCACCTCGTGCAGCTCGACTGCAGATAAACACACGCATTCACTTTACACACGTGGCGGCACGTTTTGAAGGCACAAACCAGCTCTCTCATATTTGCCCCTATTTGGAGATACGCACCGTGCAGGAGGGGGGTGTGTTCGATCACGTTGCCGCGCTTTGCCGCTGCGCACTTCGTCCACCAGAGGGCGGCAGAGAGCAGGGACTCCGCTGCCGCTAAGCGCCGAGGCTGCATCCAAATCAAACGGACTGTCAAGGTAGAGGAACTTCGCAGTACTACACCGGAAAATGGGTGATGTATGGCCTTCAAAATATATTGCATGTTTGTCACTTTAAAAATGTATTTAAAAAAATTAAATATATATTTGTCAAATATTCATGTTTTTTATCGATATGTGTCCAATCAAATCAAAGTCCATAAGTTTATAAACATCTTTTAGCAATTTATTATTATTATTTTTAATTATTATTAGATTTTTATTAATGTAATATTTTATATTTCATCTAACCAAGTTGAGGCTATTTGGTTACAGAAAACATGTAACTAAATTTGTCCCAGGTGGATAAAAGCTATGAAAGTGCAGCATGCTAATTTAAGAGAAACTGTATGCTTAAAACAGTCAGGCCATGTTGTCAGATTTCTGGGTAAATTTTAAACCCACTTGTGTGGAGTCTGGATGGAGAGCTTGTATCTTTTAGATCACCTCTATTAAAAAAAAAAAAAAAAGTTACAGCAAGTCATCATTAAGAGAACTTCACATTTTCGTATGATACCTATTGTCTGATGGCTGTTTCTGGATCTGTCACAGAAGGATTTTTCTTCTTTTTAGTATTGTGCACACAAGATAATCACATCATGGATGGATTGATGAATGGGCCTATTGGACACAGGGCAGAGCCTCGATCTATTTGAAGTGATTATTATCATTCCTTGTCGGAAAGTCAATTAAAAGAGTTCAAAACAACCACAAAGAGACTTAAATCGAGTACAGTAAAATGCAAAAAAAAAAAAGCTAAAAGACACAAACTATTCACACATACTATTATTGTGTGTTCCAGATTAAATAAAAAAGTTTATTTGTGGTTTCAGGGGCTCCATTTCAATTTACTTATTGATAAAATCAATTCCACAGCATCATTTATAGAGACTACAAGCTTTATAAAAAGAATTCAAGATAATCAAGAACGCGATACAAAAAGCTGCGTTTTATTGTGAAAATCGCAGCAGGAAGTGGCTTCACTCAGGTCATATAGCTTGTTTACGGGTCGGTTGAGCGCGGTAGCTGTCAGATAGTGGAGAGACAGGCAGAGAGAGGACACCCACGCCGGGAGCTTCGTCTTTCTACACCTCACCCTCCGTCACTTTCAGCGCCTTGCTTGAAGGCATTTCACCGCTCCAACGGCCGTGAAGCTGCTGGGCGGACCCGTACTTTTTAAAACGCAAAATTAGCACAAAATAAGCGACATTTTTCTTTTTTAATTTTCTTTCCGAGCTGAATAAGGAGAAGAGACAGGGGTAGAGACATGGCCACGACAACCTGTACGCGATTCACAGACGAATACCAGCTATACGAGGAGCTGGGGAAGTGAGTATCAGTGGTTGTTTTAATGTATTTGTATCGGTGTTGTGTTGCTAGTCTGTGGTGTGTGTGTGTGTGTGTGTCTGTGTGTCTGTGTGTGTGTCTGTGTGTCTGTGTGTCTTATCTGTAGGAAGGCTGGGTTTCCATGCAGTGCAGAACTGAGCAGAGCGACTCTGCAGGCCAGCAGTGATGTGTGTGTATGCATGTGTGTGTGTGTGTGTGTGCGCGCGTGCGCGCGTTGATGGTGTGTGTGTTTGTTGCTTTTTCGGGATGACAGCTCTCAAAATACGCTGCTCCCTCTCTCTCTCTCTTTCTACAAGTCCATGTCTCTCTCTCTCCCTCTCTCTCTCTCTCTCTCTAACTCAGAATATTGGTACATGTTTGTTTCCAGATCTTCAGCAAAAACTGAAGTAAAATACAAAAGTATTTGCGCTTATACGATGTGTTTCTGGTTCAAATACAGTCAGAAATGTCTTGTGGTGCAGCTATTTGAACCACAGATAAAAAAAAAGTAAAAGACAAAAAAAGAAGTATCTTTTATTCCGAGTATGTTTTTATAGAGAGGAGGGATTCATTAATCTTCAGATCAGGTGAATACCGTGGATGTGCATGAAAATTAAGTATTTTAATGGATGCACACGTGGCAGTTTCTGCGTGGTTATGATCAGTGTGAATTACTGTCATCTGCAAAGCTAGAGAACAAACTCATTATTGAGGTCTTAAAATTAAATTATACAATTTGATCTTTTTGTGTTTGTTTGTTGTTTTTTTTTCAAATCCTCATTTGCCTTTGACCTCATTTTTTCTCTATAGCCTCCATTTAAAATTCTGAATTAAAGTCATGTGCATGTACACATTTTGTACAAATACAAAAAGTTTCACAACTTTATTGCACATTATGTGCTCTTTTGCAGCACAGTGGTGGCAGATAACACAAGATAAGACGCTCTGCACTGGCGCCAGAAAAAACAGTCCACCTCTGTTCAGAAAGCTGTATTAACAGTTCATGCACACATTTCTTTAGTTAGAGAGAAACCACTGACTCGAAAGAGACGCAGCTTCTCCCAAACAAGAACCATATCCATCATAATTTAAAGGACGATGTACAAATGCACCAACAAAATATGATTTTGACTATTAATTTTAGTTTTAGCATCATTGTGTTTAAACATCTGTAATTATACCACTGCTGGTGTAGTGACGTAGGAGAGAGAAATGCCACGATATCATTAAATTAAACTCACCATGCGGACAAACTAAGTTCATGTTTGAGCCCTACACAAAATCTATAGGATAATTATAGTGAGTTTACAGGTCACCAAAGTCACTCCGGTCTCTATACTGCAACATCATAGTTAGTCTGTCACTGGGACAGGGCGGAGGAGTGAAGGGGGAAGGATTGAGAAATCACTCCTCATCAGGCGTACGTTGTTTACATCACTGCCGCAGAGTGTCATGCATCACGCCAGTGTTGTTTGATTATCATGCATATCACTGGTTACTTACTGATAGCTTGATTGGCCCCATGCCGTTTAGTCATCCACCACTGGGACGATAGGTGCAATCAGAACCACAGAAACGTTTTCAGTACAGTCTGCAGAACATGCTGTGTGTGAGTTTCGTGGAACAAAGGTTTGCAAAGTACAGTGGGGTCCAAAAGTCTGAGACCAGTTTCCTATTGAAGTGAATGGGAAAGCAGTTTTCGACTTTTAGACCCCACTGTATATTAATCCTGTAAATTTAAGATCGATAAGCCAAACACTTAAAAACAACAACAGTGCCTTATGAATAACTAATATGTTAGAGCCTGATTGTGGATCAATGAATAGCTGTGATGAAGATCATGTATTAAGCATTGAATATCTTTTGAGGCTTGTGTTTTCCTTCGCATGTTTTGTTTTCATCTGACTTTTTAACCACACACTGATGAATGGGCTTTTGCCAGGACGCCAACAAGTTCATCCTGTCTTTACTACGTCTGCTGTGTTTCCCAGAATGCCTACATTTTTCGTGCTTGATTTATTGTCGGGTCAAAGCTCTCAATAGAAAACATTTTGTGCAAGCATTTACTAATTATGTTGTTTTAAAGTCTAGCGCTGGTAAACTCACAAAACTGGATATTAAATTAATAAATACATCTAGAGAAAATGAAGTTTTATTGGATTTATAGAAGAAATGCTTCACCAAAAGCCTATATTTTATATATTATATATATATATATTCTTGATGTATAGAAGACAGTAACTGTGGTGAGCTTGGTAAAGGTTAACTAGTTGTAATCAACTGTGTTTGCTTGCAGTGGTTATGAGCAACAAACAGCTGACTGCCCCAGCAACAGAGCGAAGCTGTGTGTTTAGTGTTATGTGGGCACACTGCGGAGAACATGCATTGTTTGCATAGCAGAGAGGTGATTTAGGCAGTAATGAATTGAGGAGTTTATATGAATGTTTTTTCATCTCAGAACTGGGTCACCATTTGATTTCACTGTAACTGTAGCTGTGAACCAGAGCTGTGAAAGTAAGAGAGCAAAGCTACACGTTCCTCAGAGACCTACAGGAGCTGAGTGTTTGAAACTCAAAACATTTGTTTTTTGGTGGGATATTCCTTCAATCGGATATCTAAAAAAAAAAAGAAAAGAAAAGCCCAATGTGATAGATCAGGTCGTGGTCGACCATAAATGTTTGGTCGTCTGCCAAACTGGCTGCTACAGGAGACGCAGGGATCAGACTAATTTACAACGCTGCACCCCCGACATTCTCCTTACATCCCATAAGTAATAAATATTGTTAGCAGGGAAGGTTTTGCTTGCGTAACTCCAATATATCCCAAAGCCAGGGAGACTTCATTCTCCGGTCTTGGTTTTTGATTAAAAAAAGAAGAAGAATGCAACAGATCAGATGTGTGGGCCTCGCTGTGTTTAGATGCATCTTTAGCTTCGACACAATACTCTCCAGTCAAAAGTGCGGGCTTTGAAGCTGTCTGTGTGAGGGAGACTAATCTGCACGCCCGCGCTGCAAAATCTCTTTCACAGACCAGTCTCATTATTCACACAGTCTCATAAAGCTCGGAGGAAAGAGCGCAGGTGCGGATGGCGAGGCATCCTCATGATAACGCTCTCTGTAACTTTGTAATACTAACCCAACATCTGAGGAGAGCTAATCGTTGTCCGCTCGCTCTCCACTGGTGTCACTTTCTGAGCAGGGCTTGTGACATTTAATCATTGTGCCTTTTCTCTTTGTAGAATCATGTCTGCTTTACTTTCCTACACACACCACAGGATGGGCTGAAATGTCCTTTGAAGCTCCAGATTTTACACTTTTCCTGTGTTTTATTTCAAGTGTTGCTCCATAAGAAGATATATTTGTGGCTTTAAGTACAAAATCCATCTCCAGTGTAGTTTTACATCTCCTCTCTCAGGCTTCTCTCTGGAGCTCTAGTAACAACAGGTCGGTGAGCCAATCAGAAGAGAGGAGGCTCTGAGCCTCTCCTCTGATTGGCTGACTGTTTTCTGACGGATCAAATAACAATAAAGCAGATTTCAGGTAAACACTCAGAGAAAACGAATTCTGAAAGGCTGGATGGTGGGTCCAGGTGGGTGGGGTTTGGGGGCTTGGGGGCATGGCTGAGAGTGGTGACTACCTTGTTGTGACATCACAAAGTTACAGAAGTCCTGACGGCTCGTTTTAAGGCTCAGTTTCTGAATACAGGCTGTGTGCATTTCTCTGTTGACTGAGTACTTTGATACTTTCACAGTATTGATGTAGAACCTAGACCTGATCAATAATCAAACAACACATGGAAATCTACCTTTATACAATATGGGACCTTTTAAAATGAAAAGATTTAATATATTTTTATATGTAACCTTCCATATTTGCCACCTAAAATGTTCTTTGTATTTAGGATTCGGTGTTCTGTGGCATCAGATATTAGTTTGAGAATGCATTTTTTTCCATATCATAAATACAGTAATTAAAAATATCAGTTTATTTTTTCTTATACTTAAATAATGCAGGTCTCAAAAATTAGAAAAAATTAATTTGAATTGAATTATATGACACATATCCAGCAAACCATGCAGGAGTTTCATGTCTAGGAACAATATGAACATGTGAAGATGAATAATATGAACAGTCACACAGCCTTGAACGTCACAGTTAACACATTGGAAGGGCAGCTCTCAGAAGTCTGTCACACAGCTGCTATAAAGAAATCTGTAACAGCAAATAGATCTTCTAAAAGACATATTCTTTTCTTATATCACCCTGCGTGTCTCATTTAGACTGATTGAAGCTTAGGGGTATAAATTTTCACATCCTGCAGTACGTAATTCCTCCACATCTCCGGCACCTTGTGAGGCTGTAACAGCACACCAGAGTTATCCGGTTACAAAACCCTTGACTGTTGAGGGCACTGATTTTCTTTTCAAAAATAATGCGGGGTCCGTTTAAATCTCCTGATGTCCACTTTCTGGGTGTCAAACCAAAACGCAATGATTCACGACCGGTTACCTTATTTAACTGCGTATGTGTGTTAAAGCATATTTAGCCCCAGCGATGAGACACTTACCTCACAGAGTGTGAACTTTCCAGGCACAGCTGTGGCGTTTGGTGTCAGTAACATATGCGTTTGTTTGTGTGCGTGTGGCTGGTGTCGCCGCCCATGCAGTGCTCATACTGACTGTGTTTTTTTTTTTGCTTTTGGGGTCGTATTTCGCCGCAGCGCACGTGGTCGCTAAAGAAAAGCACTTTGCAAACATGTTGATTCTTTGCCGCTAGACGAACCAGAGAAGACGTGACAGTGAGAGCGGACGAGGGGTTCATACTCACCTCTGCTTGTTATGGTTTTTATCTGATGCTGAAACAGTATTGAAATTCCCTGTGAATTCTGCAGGAGGTTTGTGTCTCCACATCAAAGTCATCTCCCTGAGCGTCTGCAGGGTCTCACAACTTTCACCTTTGACCCTGACCTTGTTGGTTATCTGTAACTGTCTCAGTGTGGAGGCAGACCAGTGGCACCAGTCAACCTCCCACTGTCAACACTCGCAGCAAGACTGGGGGCAGATCTGGCTGAAGCGGCTCTGATGCCAGGTTTGCTGTTGGTCTGCTGCCAGGGAGATATTGATATTTTTGTACAGTCGATCAATCAAACTTTATCGGTAAATCACCTTCTGTACAGGTTAGTGGAATAATGATGATAAGACAGTTCAAATGTAAACATTAAAGCAATTTTAGACTAACAATAACAGAAAATGAATTAGCTTGATTAAAAAATAATGATAATTGGAATATAAATAAAATTAAACTAGATAAAATATATAAAAGACTGACAAATAAAATCATAAAAAAGAAACCCGATTAGTCGTCCTGCTTCATAGATTGGAAAAATATCAGAAAAGTAGGGTGATGCAAGACTATGAAGTGCTTTAAACACAGTGTAAAGAATTTAAAAGTCAGTATGAAGTATGGTGGAAATGTGACCTTTTAATGACCAAACACATCCAGATGTTCAGTGTTTCCTGCCACAATTTTAATTCAATTATGGGTTAAAATTTGTGGAGCCTCAAAGCAGCAACGGCAAAAATGGACTCTGGGAACACAGAGCAAAGTCTGGATGAAGCGATGCTTTGTTTTTGAGACTGGTGTGAGTGTTTGTGCGTCATGTCAGGACTTTTCAAAGTATATGACCAATTCACTAATGCTGCGTTTGTGTGTAAGAGCCCATTTTAGCGCTGTTGCTCACACGCCACACGTGTGTGCGTGTTATTTAGAATATGCTGACTGTGTACGGGGAACCTCATGGGAGCCTATTAAGCAGACAAATCCTGGCAGCGTAGTCTCCTAATGTGGCCAGTTACAGTTAAAATGTGAGCCTGGAAAAATGCTGCCATTGCAGAAAATGTTCTCAGCAAAAATCTTAGCCGTAGTCATTAAGCTAGCCGAGGACCCGCGCCACTCTTTCTGTGCCATTCATCAGGAAGTTGCAGGTGTGCTGATGATACCTTTCCAATAAACGATGATGAAAAATGGTGTGTGAGTTACAGAGTTGTCCACTTACAGCAATCCATTCATAGCAAGCTTAACAGATGTCTTCTCCGTGTTTTACAGGGGAGCCTTTTCAGTGGTGCGCAGATGTGTTAAGCTGTGTACAGGACAGGAGTATGCCGCCAAAATAATCAACACCAAAAAGTTATCCGCAAGAGGTAAGCACAGCCATATTTCTGGATTTTTTCATCACCAACGCAACATGCACCTGGTGGATTTGTAAAGTGGGGCCTCAAAGAAAAACACAATATCTGTATTTCTCTGTTGTGACTTAATAGAAGCTACTAAAAAGACAATGTGTAACCCTACAAGACAGTCTAATTTGTTCATAGTTTCTCTGTCCCAGTGGTCACGCCCCCACCGACAGTGCAGATAATTATTTAAGAAGCATCTTGCAGCAGTCACCCTCTCAGATGGTGCTGCGCAGGATTTTATGAGACAACAGAACAGCTTGTCACATAAAAGTGGAAATGTTGACCTCAAAGAGGGAGCGCACTTTGAGTTTCATTTAGTGGCGCGATTACAACGCACTGCAGCGTAGAGGGTGGGGCTGTCATGTCAACACAATATCAGAATTTGATTTTTTTTTATTTTTTTTTTTTTAAATATCGCGGCTATCGTCAGCACTGGTTTATCATAACACCCCGAGTACAGGGTCCAGTTCAGTCCAGAGTTTGAGAAAACATAGTCAGCAAAAAAATTATATGCAAGAAAATTTATAGAATTTCAAAGTACAGATGTCGGTTTGATAGATGGACAACCTGTATCACGTTAGGACCTGCATGAACATCTGGAGCTGAAACAGTTTGTAAATTAACTGCAAAATAATCTGCAACAGTTTTGACAATCAGTTATTATAAAAAAAAAAAAAAACTCAAAAAAAGAAGCAATTTTAAAGTAAAAACGCCAAAAAAAAGTATATGTAGCAGTGGCATTTTTTCAGGACATTACATAAACGATTGATTGAGAAAATAATTACCATTAACAGATGAATCAATGATGAAAAATGGAAGTCATTTGTTATAAATAATTATTTCCAGTTCATCATATTAAAGTCAGTAAAATGAAATGTTTAATTTCTCCCACATTATGCGGTGGACAGAATTCGTCCTCTTGAGTACCACTCAAGCACTGCAGCAAAGGTTCCTCTCCATTGCTTTTCCTGGCATTTTGCCAATAGATGATCGTTTAATTGGGAGGGGAATATTGTAAAAGCATGAAGGCTCTTAGCTTTAAGTTGTTTAGCATCGATTGCTTTGAGAAGTTAAGCTCCTTCCACTGCCACGCCTTTAATAACTGGATGAAAGTGTCAGTTAGTGCTTCAAATGAAATATAATGTTTAACTATGTAATAATGAAATGTAATAATGTTTTAATGTTCTTTTACTAAAGAAAAAAAAAAGAAGATCTTTTAAGCACCTTAATTAGTGTCACGAGCGATGCAGCCAGTAACGGTTTAAGCCAAAGCCAAGGCTAAATGCCACGACCATGAGGACCAATCCGGCACCAGAGTGGTCGCTGTGGCTCTTCACACCACCACTTGCCCCGTGTAAATCTCCTGCTGCCCCTGCAGCCCCGTAACTGGAGACCCACTGCCGAGGCCCTGCCAGGTGGCACCACACTGACACTTGACTGTTACCCTGCCCTCACACACACACACACACACACACACACACATAAACGCTGCTTGTGTGTGAAAATGTTGAGTGTGGTGGAACAGGCATTTTAACAGGCGTTAGCAGAGGGCATCAGCCCAGAATGTCTGGTCATATCTGTTTGTCTCTCATGAGTGTTGCTCTCAATTAGAAGCACATGATTTGTCTGTATCACACACCTGTTTGTGTGCGGGAAATACTTTCTTACTGGATGATTATTATAACATCAGCACTGAATGTGGAACACAGCTGAGATGTTGCTCAGTTGGGTAAAATGTTAGACCGTAATGTTCAGGTCGGAGGTAGAGCAGACGCTTGGAAACGGTGTAGTGTTAATAAATAAATTAGGTGATGTTGTAATGCACTTTTAGCATTGTGTTTCAGCAGACTATCTCCAGCTGCAGCAGACATTAGACAAAAATGAATTCTGCTACCTTCACATTTGTTTCAGAAAAAACAAATCTGCTTCTGTTTTTCAGTCATGTAGATGTTTGTTGAATATTTTTGTCATGTTCAGATTTCAAAATGCAAACTCAATATCTGCCAAAATAATCGCAGTATGTTTTCTTTGTTTTGTTTTTTTTTGCATATCGTGCAGCCCTAGTTTAATATATATTTTGTCGGGACTTCAGAAAATGGTTAGTGGCTAATAAGTGGCTGAAGTCGGGCTACTTACATGTTCCAAATGACAGGTGTCGTTTGAGTTTGTGGTCGTGTGAAATGATCCCACACTTTGTACTTTGTCTCTGACATACCTGTATGTATTGACTCTAACAGACCGTAGTTTCGATATTTGAGGTAGTATGTCCCTTAAGAGTTGCCGTAAGCCAGGAGTTGCTATAGGAGTCCTGCTTGATAGATAGATAGATAGATAGTAGGATCTTATATCAGAATTTTTCTTTATATCAAAACAAAGAAATAGAGTTTAAAAAAAAAAAAAAAAAACGAGACGGCAAACAAGCATTTGTTAAACCTACTTTGTTATTTGAAGGCTGCGTCCTATTGTCTTTGGCAGCAGGTTTGTCACTCTTGTTGTATTTCGACTGAATGTCAGTGCAGTGAGCATCTTTTAATGAGATTAAACCCATCCTAGATTATCCTGCTGCTATTAGCAGGAGGTTAACACTTAATCCAAGTGAGTGGCTTAATGAGACCCAAAGCAACACACACACACACACACACACACACACACAATAAATAATTCACCCGTACGACGTGCTATCGTTGGACCTATACATTTCACTCCAGCTGCTTTATCAGGGATTGCAGCTGCTTGCTTCTTTCCACCATATTTCAGAGGCACAGTTTAATCTCCCTGCTTCAACATTTGATAGGAGGACTGATCTGACCTGACTTGGTGGTGCGTGAGGCTTGTGCTGCGCTCCTTACTAATGGATGAACCATGTTCTATGAAACAGCAGAGCCGGCAGAGCTGCTGCATACTACTCCTACTCCAGGTCCTATTTATAGCTCCATGACCTATCTGACATAGGCCGCTGCAGCCCGGGTTTGATGGCAGCCACGATGGACTTGCTGCACTCCACTTTAGAACGTGGGATTTAGTGGTTTAGGTCGTTTTGTTGTTGTAACATCTCTCAGTCAGCAGGTAAGGTCGGTGAGCTCAGAGCCCTGGTCGCAGGAATTTAAGAGGAGCGTTTGTTTAGGGCCGGCAGATGGAGATGGTAGCCGAGAGGAGGGAGGGGTCATGTGAGAGAAGGCACCCCAGGCACTTGGCAGCTGAGGGCCATGCGCCTGTACGCCTACATGCCTTTAGCACGGGACTCTCATCTGACTCTCTCTCTTCTCCCTGACACACACACACACACACACACACACACACACACTCATACAGATAGTCAGACAGCCGTAGCACAGGAGCTGAGGCTGTGATGCAGTCAGTCATCCGGACAGTGAATCTATTACAGTCACAATGAGAAGAGACTAAGGATTTCTTCTTTATCGTGGTCTAAATACTTGAAGCCGTCATGATTCACTGAGTCTAAAGTCACAAAATACCGCTTGGTTACGCTGTTAAACACACAGGCATTTATGAGTTTGAATAAACGCAGTTGTAGCCTGGATACAGACGACTGCACATATTATAACATCTCGACACACAGCACAGCTTTCTCCTCCGTGTGCAACATCTTCCAACCAGCCCACCTCACCCCGTCCCCTTCAGGAGCCGCCAAACGCTTAACGCCAATCCAACACATGTCAACAGGAAATGTAGGGCAGGTCTGTTGGGCAAGGGGCTCCAGCCAATCACAGAGCTTGTTTATTGGCAGTGATCTCTGGACACGGGGATGCCAGAGGTTGCTCTATGGCCTTGTAATTTATCACGATAGAGAGCAGTTGCGCTTGCGTGCGTATATGCAGGTGTGTGCGTGTGTGTGTGCGTACGTGTGTGCGTACGTGTGTGTGGTTGAAATTCACCTGCAATGCAGTAGCAGTGATCTGACCTGGTTTTGGACAACCAGGTTTGTGTCAAAGTCAAATAACCAGGACAGATGTAGTCGCCTCTGTCGAGTGCGCATTAAACCTTATTATAAAGCCTCATTATTAAATCAAATCACTTTAGCTGTTTTATTAAAAGTAAGTTTGGATTTGTTAGTAAACCTTATTTTCTTTTACCACTGATACACAGTCTGCTTTTATGTCAAGATTTCCAACAGTGTTTCACTTTTACATAAAGATTTCATGTTCATGTTTTGAGAGATGACTCGCTGCCTTCAAGGGGCGTAGAGGTTTTTGTGTTGCTTATTCTATCTAACGACCCAAGGGTCAGTCTGACACTCTGTCCCTCTGTCATGTCATTACTGTTAAATGTGTAGGAAACAGCAGGACTCGTGATGATTTAAACATGGCTGTCTCCTGACCTCCCTGACCACAGTGCAGTTTGTGCTCGGCGTTTCCCAGCTGGCGAGAGTCACGCTAATGTTGCGACGAGTCAAATGTTCTGAACAATGGTTATATCTGGATGTCTTTTTACATCTTCTCCCCTCTTGGGACGTCCGTCCTCACTGATGATGATTAACCCAAATTTATTCCTCTCCTCTCGTCTCTGTTCCTCCGGCACACACGGTAAATTCCCAGAGACTTTGCTGAACGCTGTCCTTGGGTTATCTAGAGAACGCTCAGTGCCTTTATGTTCTTCTCTGCCACCTCTCTCCTCCTGCTCGGCCTCTTTTCTCCACTTCCTCTCTCGTTCCCCCCTCAGGACCAGTCCTCATCCTCCTTCCTTTCCCCGCCCTCCCCTCTCATTTCTTATTTACCCTGCTGCATCAGAGACGCTGGATTTGGTATCTGACCGACCGGCTGATTGACTGACAGACTAAATGAATATTTGACTGGCTCTGAATCAGCCGGCATCACCACTGCGACATGGCCACAGTTGCTGACAGTGAACTTACCGTAAGCGACACACCAAGAAGGTTATGTGTTGTGTGCTGCAAAGAAAAGAAAGAAAAACATTTTTTAAGATGTTTACTTCTTAAAGAATCTCTTTTAAAAAGCTGACACGTATAATCATCTGTCACTGATGCAGAAAACATGTAAAAAATTGTGTGTAGGTTTTAAATGCCTCACCAGCCCCCAACCCGTCCAACATTATCTCCTAGGAATTATGTTATTATGCAATTATGCACTACATTAATTAACAGCAGCGGAGCCACCAGGAGGTGTTTTGGGTGGATGGTGGGCGTGCAAAATACGTGACTGTCACACCAAGGCAGCAACTGGGGCTGAAATATAAAGCCAGAACAGAAATGCCCAAAGCTGCAGTTCCTCGAATGGCCACTTGAGGCTGGTTCCACGTTAAAATGTCCAACTTACAGCAGAAATAATCATGTTTTACAGCCTGGTACAACAAACAGTTTGGTCTCTATAGCTAATTCCCTCCTTCGTGAAAACTGCACGGCGGGGGGGCAGATTTTTATACAACTCACCTGTTTAAATTTTATTACGTTAACGTTCTGCTTAATTGAGGGCGTGACCATTTTGAGTGACAGGTGGGCGAGTGTATGTTTGATGCCGCATGCACCAAAGTCTCGGCTCCACAATCCCGTCTGTGGTTCGGTTTAGGCAACAAAGGAGTTTTGGTTACAGTTAGGGATAATGTTAAATGTTAAATGTAAACAAACGTGTTGTGTCACTGTGAGCTTTTTCTGTATTAAACCAGACTACGATCTTTACCTGGTCTGGAGTGCTGTGAGTTTCTAAACATAACCACAGAGAGTTAAATCATGCTGTAGTCACCACCAGCGGACGTTTTACTAATGTATTCAGTATCGATTCAAATTCAGTATCAATCGATCATTAACAACATATGCTCATTACGTGATCCTGTAATTGTTACATATCCTACAAAACACATTTGCTTTTGTCAGTCAGTTAGTATAGTTAGTATATAAACATAATTTCTAGGAGACAGAGTTCGACCTTAATAAATAGCTAACACAAGGACGCATCTCCTGACTCTGTTAGTTCATCCATCCATTCATCCATCCATCCATCCATCCATCCATCCATTCATCCATCCATCCATCCATCCATCCATCCATCCATCCATCCATCCATCCATCCATCCATTCATCCATCCATCCATCCATCCATCCATCCATCCATCCACTAACCCACTTTAACTCTCAGCATCTCCAAACCCCAGAGCAAACATTGACCGGCTGATTAGCTGACTGTCTGTATTCAGAACTACAGCTGTGGGAACCTCAAAATAAGACCACGATACCCAAGACCATGCTTGAAGATTCATCCACAGCCGTCCACTGCCTAATCCCCAACTCTGCCCCTCACCCCTGTATGAATGTTCTGTCATCGGCAGGTCGTCTCTCTCACACGGTGTCTGGCTGAAGGTTTATCTGCCATTGATCCAGCCAGCCTGGTAAAGCTGGGATAAAGGACCTGAATAGCGACGTTTCTTGTTACAGAGGAGGCCGTATATCTCATCTTCAGGCATATCCAGCTGTAAATCCCAAGACAAGTACTCTGTGACCCATACCAGGTTTCCAATCCCAAGGGATCTTGAGCGGAGACGAGGCTAGGAAGAATATATATATATATATACAGTATATATATGTTATTTGTAGTTTCCATGGAAGTAAGAAGAAATTAAAGGATGAAGACTCTCATTCTTATTCAATAAAAACAATCAATATAAAACCATTACATCTAGAAATATGACAATATTTCCACTTGAGCCTTTAGTCACACAGTCCTAGAAAGACGTGCGGATAAAACAAAGGCTCTGCCTGGCCGTCTGGTAGACTGAGCTGAGAGGAACCATTGCTCTTACTCCGAGCCAATTCTGTACTTGCAGAGTAATGTCAGCAGATGCCACTGACAGAATGAAATGTGATGCTTGTGCTTATGACATGTTTTCCACCATTTGACATTGTAGTCTGATGCGTGACATATCTGGGAGTGTTCAGCACAAGTGGACAGTTGGAAATTTTCAAATCGCGGGGTAGGTCAGCCAGCCGGTCGGGGTGAGTTTAGGTGCGGTGAGATACCTCTTCCCCAATGATGAACAGAGATGTTATTTAATTTGTTTTCTGAACACGCTGATAAACAGCAAAGAGATGCGTCTATTTTATCCCAGGAGCATCTGAAATGTCGTTTTGTAACACACGAACACACAAACAAATGAAACCATAAACTCCTCCGAAACCAAAATGAATAATTGAAGAACGAGTGAATAAGAGTGAGGGGAAAAAAAAAAAACAAACAAACAACAGGAACAGAAAGACAGCAACCCAGGCTTTGTGTGTATTCATCGCTCTTGCATTTTTCCTCCTTCCTTCCTCCTCTTCTGTCCCCTCTTCAACACTCCTCCAATCCTTTCTCCGCCTCCCTCCTCTCATCTTCTGAGACTGTAATCACCGGGCTTACACTTCACTGTCACTCCTCAATGCCAGCGTGAGCGTGCGCGCATGTGTTGTGCCAGTGCATGTGTGCGCGTCTGCGTGTACTGTACGCACGTGTGTACAGTATGTGCGCGTTTGTTCGTTTTGGGTGTGGGTGAACACATGCATTTCACACATGTTTCTGTGCTTGCAGGCACGCACATACTTGGTGGTCCACCCCCCAGCGTGTATGCGTGCGTGCGCGTGCGTGTGTGTGTGTGGGCTGAGATTGCTGCTTATTTGATAACCATTGAATCCAGGTTGGCTAGCATCTTTAAGCTGTTATATAAGCATACATATATATATATATATATATATATGCACACGCACATGTAAACACATAATCTACATACACAACAAATATCCTTCTCAAAAAGACGTTAGGTCTGTTTTCTGACTCGAATGAAATATAAATATGTTGCTTCATAAGGTGATATTTCCTGTTAAAAAGGGATATTGGAGATGAGTGATATCAGCAACAGGATGTTTTGTTTTGTTTTGTTGTTTGGCAGGTTTGAACATTATCAGATGTATTTTATTTTAGATGGGATCTTTACAGGACGTGTGCTTCGTGGTTAATGAAGACGGCAACAGTTACTAGTTTCCAGGCAGGAAATGAAATGACATTTTGAATTGGTTACAGAATTTTTTTTTAGCATAGGTTGAAAATTTATTTATTTATTTTTTTCTATTTGGAAATAAAAAATATATATCTTATGCTTTTTGTACTCAGGAAGAAGATGATGCTGGGGCAGGACATTTTGTCAGACCTCAAGGATAGACACAATCTGATTTGTTGAGTGTCTATACCCAAAGTGTTTCAGTCGTTCGTCTCACGTGCATCTAACAGACCAGATACGTTACCATATTAATCAATTCCTCTACTACAGGCTGCCTAAAGGCTCGTGATTTACTCACTACTCACTCATGTGTTTGTAAATGTGGCCTGACGTGTATTTTCCTGAATAAAACTGGGTCTGTGTTTGGGGAAATGTCATTATTTCTTTTGCTGTATATCGAACAACAATGACTATTGACTACTACTACTAATATGACGTCTCTATTGAAAGAAGCAGCTATCAAACTGCCAAACGTTTACACTGTTCCTTTGCATTGTGTTGATTTCTGAAATGAACTGTTTTACCTTTTTAATCTGATAATCTATTCATCCATCAGGGAAGATGCTCGACGACACCAGTGATCCTGTTATACCTGCAATGCTTTTTTTTTTTACGCCCACTGGGTGGATCTACATACTGTACTTTGTTTGTCACTGTGTGTGTGTGTGTGTGTGTGTGTGTGTGTGTGTGTGTGTGTGTGTGTGTGTGTGTGAACTGAGCGGATTTTCATCAAACTTTGTAAAATGACACGTCTCGCCACAGTATTTTGACATTTTCACGTTTAGCTCAATGGTTCAAAGTGGGTTGCCACATTATTAGGTCATAATGAAAAGGTGTATCTGCAGTTGGATTTTAAGAATAACTCCTCATTATCTCTCTCTCTCTCTCTCTCTCTCCTCATCTCGCGTTGCTTCAGATCACCAGAAGCTGGAGCGAGAGGCTCGGATCTGTCGCCTGTTGAAACACCCCAACATCGGTGAGGATGTGTCTTTCTATTTTTGCTCCTCTTACCTCCAGCCTCAGTTTCACACACAGTTTGTTTTGATTTTGCATTTCCACAGCTTTTTATGAAGTGAGATCAGTTTGTTAGTGTATGAAAATTTGATCATATTATCATAGAAATGTAGTAGCAGCAATAGACGTTGTGTAATATACAAATTTAACTTAATATCCATCTATTTCGGTCGATGAAGTGGACCCATTTGTTGCCAGAACCCCCTGCCATACTGTAAATACACACTCAAGAAACACTCAGTTATTATGACACCCTGTGGTTTCTACCCCACGCACACACTCACTCCCCCCCTTTTTTTATCCTCCTAGTTAAAATGCAGCTGTGTTATTCTGTGTTATTCAGAAATGGTGGAACCAAGGATGGATGCATTTTAAACCCACCATCAAATAGTTGATAGTTTCCAGTGATACAGAGACACGGGACTGTTAATAACACGCATTTAAAATAATGATAAATACACATTTATCTCTCAATCTGTTTATCTGTCTCTTCCAGTTCGTCTTCATGACAGTATATCAGAGGAGGGCTTCCACTACCTCCTGTTTGACTTGTAAGTCATCCTCCTCTCCTCTCCTCTCCTCTCCTCTCCTCTCCTCTCCTCTCCCACCTACACCTCAATTCCCCACCCTTCCCTACATATACAGTTACATAACTCTCTCCTATATTTGCCCCCTCCCCTCACAACCACCACCACCCACGCCCTCAAACATCTATCTCTCGGCAATCCCCTCTAGTTTCCATGGTAACGATGTGCTGGGAAGCGGGAAGAAAGGGGGGGGTAAGAAGGGTGGGTGGGGGGGGGGGATAAGAAGGGTGGGTGTGGGGGTGCACAGAACACAAGTAACGAAGAAGGAATCCTTGCCTTACAGCCTCTATACCCACCCACCCCACCTCCTCCTTCAAATCCAAACTCCAGTTTTAATAAGTGTGTGTGTGTGTGGTGTGTGTGTGTGTGTGTGTGTGTGTGGTGTGTGTGTGTGTGTGGTGTGGTGTGTCGTGTGTGTGTGTGGTGTGTGTGTGTGTGTGCGCAGGGTGACCGGAGGTGAACTGTTTGAGGACATCGTAGCCAGAGAGTATTACAGCGAGGCCGACGCCAGGTAGGAGCGCAGGCTTCACTCCTGTATGTGCGACGGGGCTTCTCCTTGTCCTGAAATGGTCTGTGTCTTCTGTTGTCTTCTCCTGTCGGTTGTTCTTTATGTAGCTGTGCATGTTCTTCCTTTTCTTCTTCTTCGTATTCTCCTCCTCTCCTCACTCTCCTCTTTTTACTTCTACACTCTGCTGTACTTGGTCTTTTCTTTTCCCCTGTTCCTGCACCTCACGTCCTTCCACTGCATATTTTCTTCTTCTTTGCTTATTTTTTCTTCCTCTGTTCTTTTCATGTTTGTTTTTCCTCTTCTGTCTTCTGTTGCTTTTTCTCGTCTCTTCTGATAGCCGTTCTCCTAACTTCACCAACTGTACCTCCTCTTTTCATCGCCACACTACCTCAGTCACAACTCCTCTTCTTCACTGTTTCCCTTCCTCCTTCACACCAGTGCCACAGTACTTCGCCTCTCACACTGACGCAGGAGTTACATCTTAAGGTTTGACCTATATGGGTTTAAAAGACCAAATCAGACTTTTGAAAATCAGCTTTTCAAATCTGCAGAGTGTGGTGACAATAAAAATCCCAGTTTAAGTAAAACTGACATCGAATGGTTGTTAAGAGTCTTCGAGTTGGTGCCTAGTTCGAATTCAAAGTGCGGTGCATTTTAATAGATGGACAAGTGATTTCTGCAAGTGCTAAACAAGCTACTTTAAAGTTTGTATCTGGGAAAGAAAGGGTATTGAGTTGTGGAAACATAGTCACTAAAACAATATTGCATTATCGATACAGAATTTGTAACGGTATCAACAAACTCTTACTGGTCAAACCTTCTGTCAGTGTCTTTTAAATGAAATAATTTCCCCTCACTCAAACAGTGAGTGTTAAAAACAGGTGTGTAAGCAAAATAAAACCAGTGGCCCTGCACACCTGTAGTGTTTGTATGTATGTGAACAGCCCCCCTCCTTCTTTTCTTGATTTTCATTCAGCCCTCTCTTCTACTTTCTCTTTCACCCCCCCTCCCCCCTCCCCGCCACCACCACCACCACCACCACCACCGCCGCCACCACACACGTTGATTTATATCTCACTCCCACCACTTGTGCTGACTCATCGACACACACGGTTCACTTTGGCGGAAGAGGAAATGGAGTTGGGGGTGGGTGGGGGGGTGGGGGGGGCAGACAGCAGGCTGAGAGAAGAGTGAGAGAGATACTTGAAAAAAATGACAGTTGTGATGTGGGTGTTCGTCCATTCAGCAGCAACATTAAAAGTTTAACTGAGCAACCAGTTTGCATTACATTTTAATCTAAAAAGTCTTAAATATCTGAAGAAAGAATGACATTATTGTTTGTCCAGATGTCTCAGTGTGGTCATGAGAAAATCCACTTTTATGGAGAAACATCATCTAACCACCGAGCCACTGTTTCCTTCAGTCAGTGCAATAAGCTCAATCACCAATTAGAACAAACCCGATATGACTTATTTTTGTTAATGTTTACATGGTATGTTGGGTTCCTGATTAGCTCATAGGATGGACTGGATGTAGAATAATATTGATCTAGTTTCAACAAAATATTCAGGGAAATGTTAGTTTGAGTGGAGGCCAGCCACTGCTGCTTCGCCTCGCAGCAGCAGCAGCAGCAGCAGCAGCAGCGACGGGATTATGCGAGTCCCGCATGTCACTCACAGTGAAAAGGTCATATCTCACAGTGTTGTGTAATTTGTTGTCTCTAATATAAACCTGCAAATCCTTCTAGAAAATATGAAAAAAAATAATGAGTGTTTGATGTTATAAACAAAAAAAAAAATTAAATTTGAAATGCAACAGTCCGCTCTCATGACCTTTCTAACACAGTCGCAGGTACCGACTTGCCTAAATGCCTGGCTGTTATTTAAAGTGCGTTTGCTGCTCTCTGTTCCCTCACTAGGGTTTTTGTTGATGCTTTAAGCACTGAAGGAATTTGTGTAAAAGACAAATGCCAGATATACTCAAATTATTTCTGCACTTTATCATAAACAATGTAAATCAATGCAGATTTGATTGTAGACTTCCTCGTGTGGGAAATCATAGCTTCAGTTTGATGCAGCTCTTTTAAGAACATTTTGAGTGATAGTTTCATATATGTAATCTGCATTAAATGTCAAAATATGTGGTTACATATAGAAAAAAAATCCCCTTTTCATGCCGACAGCATATCTGAGGCAGCCAGAGAGAGATGTATAATATAGAAATCTGACTTCCAGTCACAAAATTTCCTTTCTGATGGATGACTCAAGCTGTTTAAGAAATAAACTGGCAGCGCTGCATCCTACAGCATAACAGAAGGAAACGCATTTACACACACACACATCATGTAAACCAAATGAATAGGTGTGCTGCTCCTTCAAAGAAAGAGAGTGAGAGAGAGAGAGTGAGTGTGTGTGTGTGTGTGTGAGTGTGTGTGTGTGTCAGTTATATCAGTTGCAGCTCTGTTGTGCTGTTTACTTATAAAACTTCATTTAAAAAGTGATAACTGTCTCTTACTGAATATTTCGAAGAAAAGTCTTTACTGTATATATCAAAATATAAAGTTCAATATAATGTGTTGACGTATGTTGAGGTCTTCGCCGGTCTTATTTATTATTATTTGAAACACGATGGTTTTTAATATTAAAGCTCTGCCATTAAGACTTTTTGCTTCCCTGCACCTTGGAGGATAAACCTTCAGCTGTCTCTTTGTTAGTCACTTAAATCATTAGTGATGTTTTTAAAAAACAATCGGCTGGCTTATTCTGCTGTCGCTTGCATCAGTTTTTCGAATGATTGAGCTGTTCATTTTGCCCGTTCATCTGCAGGGCACTAAGCAGGACAGTTGTGTTGTGGGAAGGGGGTTTGTCTGCCAGCAAGTTTCTCTTTATGTCCGATGCAGAGGAGCTTCTGTTTTGGCTTTGGTCCAGTAACAAAAAACTAAAGTGATGCAAAAGATGTGAATGTTTCATCAACTGCTCAGTGTATCCAGCCTGTTACTGGTTTTGTTTTCTGTTTGCTAAATGCAGAGTGTTATTTTTTTATTTTTTATTTTTTTTTGAGAACTGTACTCAAGAACTTGTACACCTGTCTCTGTGTGGACGAGTTTGAGTTTTAGACCTTGGGAGTGAGGACAATTTGTGTGTTGTGGTGTGTGTGCGTGCGTGCGTGTGTTGTGGTGTGTGTGTGTGTGTGTGTGTGTGTGTCGGCTGACATGTACCTTCTGGATGTTGCAGTACTAATAACTGCTTAATCTAAACCCCCTAGTGATTGCTGCTTTTCCCACCCATCTTGTAACCCTTGCAGTTCTCACTCCTGGCTCAGACACACACACACACACACACACACACACACACGCACGCACACACACACACACACACACACACACACAGAAACACACTTTCCTTTCCCCTCCCTTCTGAATGTCAGTCATCCAGGCCAGACCTTACCCCCCTCCACCCTCACTCCCTTGGAGACCAGCAAGAAGTGGGACTTTAATTAGCTACAATAATTAGTCTCACACACACACACTCTCTCTCTCTCTCTCTCTCATGCACTCACACAGACCCCAAACGGTGCTGCATCACACCTTGTCGCCCCCTGTCAGACTCTATCAGAGTTTCTCTTCAGCGGCTGTTAGGAGCAGAACCTGGGAGTGAATTACACCTGAAGCTGAATCCACTCAGCAGCAGATTCACAAACAGTCCCAGAAACACAGCACCTTGTAGCACCAGTCTGCCGACCCCTGACAGATCCGTCCGAGTCTTTATCTACGATAAAACCTGAAACCTGATGTCTGGCATTTTGTACATAGGGGCTGATCAGGGTGGTGAGACTCGACTCGTTCAGTCTGTGTCTGTCTGACATCCAGGTGAACCTGCTCATTTTTAACCCCTTCTTCGTGCCGTGACGTCTTTCAGAGCACAAACACTGCAGACAGACTTGTCACCTGTCCAGCACGCTTGCTGTTAAACTAGACGTCGCCATGGCTACGCTGTGCCCAAGGATGAAAGAGTGAGCTGCAGCCTCGAAATAACTTTTAAAAACACACAAATCACAGATCGAAGTGTCTCACACAGACAGAGGCTCCGACACTGACAGCAGCACCAACCCGGGGATGAGACGCAACAGATCCATTTTACCCGTTTCCACGTCAGCTAGCAGCTCCCTCGTTCGTTCTCTACTGTGTGTGTGCTCTATAAGTGCACGTGATGACATCACTCCCTGCAGTTGTGTGTGTCCTCTCTGAACAGAGAGGCAGTGGCTGGCAGTGTAAAAGGAGTCCATCACCTTTTTTTTAAGTGGGTTTACCAGCATTTAAAAGACCCTCAAATTTTGTGTAAAAGGGGTATAGTTCTCGAGTTTCCATGCTGAAGTATTATTGTTGTTTGTACTTGTACGTATTGAAAGCGTATGCAGACATATGAGAGGGAGAGAAGGTGCCCTCTCTTGACATGCAGACTGGCTCTGTGTTTGATTTTCCTCCCAGTATCACTTTACTCTCCTGCAGAGAACAGTGGGACATTGTGGCTCAAAGTGCTGAGCAAGTCACATTTCTTGGCCAGCGTGACGAGGGCTGCACTTTTTTTTTTCCCCCTCTTTGTCCACACCAGGAGTTCATGAACAGACGAGTCCTTTAAGAATGACATAATGGGTTTAGGGCAGCGAGAGAGAGTTCATGCACACGGGAGTGGGATGGATGTGCTCTCCTATTTCTACATCCCATAAACCAGGGGTCACTGCCAGGTCAGGGCGTGTGTGCATGTATGCATGCTGTAAAGTTAAGAGCAGGAGTCAGCGCCAGGAACAGGACCAGGCGGTGTGTATAATGGAGCGTGGGGTCGGTCACGGTGAAGAAATGAAGCAGAGAGGTGTGTTACTCTCTGCGGATCTCAGCCGCTTTTCTGACTAAGTCATAGGCCGTGACCTTCCTGGAAGAATAAAACACAAGATGGGGAGTGGACAATGATATCACCTATGATATCTACTAATAACTATGTGACCCA